AACAACTGTTAGAATTTCATTTGGCGAATATTCATTTCATTTACACTGTTTCGTTTATAGGAACATGGTGGGACTAAAGGGTAAGGTTTTGTGCACCATTAACCGGTTTAAACTCCCCAGCAGTACCTATGCTGCTGACCGTTCCAAGGCGGCGCCCCTCGGTGTTACTCAGATGTATGTCTTTGTTGTTTCATATTGTTTTAGTGACACTTTTGCGTCCCTTGTTGTTTTCTCGTCTACGGTAAGTATCTTTCTTTTTGCGCCTAATTTTTATATCTTTTATCCCCCCCCCCCTCTTTGCCCGGGTCTCCTGCCCCCTTCCCCTGTGCCCTTTGACTTTATGCGCCTATTATTCAGTCAATGATTTGCTTTCTTTGAATTCCTTATCAGTTACTAATTATTTCTTCTTAAGTATGATTTTAGTGATTAACCTGCCCATGCTCTTCCTTGTGCCCTGTTTTTGTTTAAGGTCCTCCTGGGCACCCTGCCGCTGTTTCTTGTTGCTGAATCGTGTGGGGGTTGCGTTCATTAACGCTGCCTTTCCTTGTTTATCTTGTTTGTCATGTTTGAAAGATTTGCACCAGAAAACGATGTTTTTTACGAAAATAAGTACTTCTTATAAATTGAAAAAATTAATCGGCGTTCTAAAAACGACTACGCCACGCGAACATCCCAAGGCCGTAATGCTTTGGCTTGATATTGCTGCTGATAAGAATATGCAATCTATATACAATATCCAAACCACAACGAAATGACACAAGCGGTGTTTGAAAAGTTCAAACAAGCAAATAGTGTTTTTTTTAAACAAACCAAGTACATTTTAAATAAGGAAAGAACACATTGTCGGTCCAAAATGATCAAGAAACTTAAATGATGACATTCCATGAGTTTAAGATTTGTGCTCTTTATGTCTGTTCAAAAAACTAATACATTTTCTAATCCCCAACGAAATCACACAAATGGTATTTGAAAGTTTGGCACCAGAAAATACTGTTTTGTTTGTCGTTTTTTTTTTTATGTTTTTTTTTAGTGCATTTTATATAATGTAAGAAACAACCGCCGGTTCAAAAGAAAACAAAAACGACCATGCCATGAGGAAATCTCGTGGCCCTATTCATTGGGCTAGAGCTTTGTGTCTTATATTACTGCAAAAAGGAACCTTTACAAATTAATACAATTTCTTATCCGCAACGATGTCAGTAAAATGGTGTTATCAAGGTTGGTATCTGAAAATGGTGGTTTTATTTTACACAAAATAGTACATTTTATATTGAGAAATAACAAATCCAAGTCAAAAAATTAACACAAAAATCATGCTACACAAAAATCTTAAGGCCATATTCTTTCGACTAGAGCTTTGTGCCTTATATTGCTGTGAGAAAGAACTTCCAAACTAAAACAATTTTAAATCAACCACGAAATAGCTCAAATGATGTTTCCATGGTTGGCAGCTTAAAAAGTGGGTTATTTTACAAAAATACTCTAGTACATTTTATATAGAGAAAATCAGATCGACTGTGCAAAAAACGAACATTTCACGCGGAAATGTTATGGCCATATTCCTTGCGGTAGGGCTTTGTGCCTTATACCGATGTTAATAAGAACATCCAAACTTACAGAATATCTAATCCGCAATGGAATTACACAAATGGTGGTTTAGTTATTGGCTCCACATAATGTTTAACCTCCTCCAACCCTTAAAAAGTACGTACGTAGTGTTCATTTTAGCATGAGTTAACGTACATGACTCTAATTCTTATAATACCGTTACCCAACGCTCGTACATGTCACACATCATCGTGCCGGCGTTTGTTGCACAAACAGTTGCTCTACTCACACTCAGAAATATATCCAAAAAGCGCACATTCATAAGATATAAGGACACTTTCTGGCGATATGTGCCCTATAGCAATTAATCGCGTATGTACTTAAAATAGAGAATGTCAGCAATCATAAAAGACATTTCTTTAACAAAATCGGTGAATTTGTTTCTGTGAGAGTGACCATTGTCGCACAAAAAAAGTTGCAGCCGTTCCTTGCCAAACTGTGCAAATCTAATATATCAAATACGTGTCATTCATGCAGGCAATGAAAATGTCAACACTAACGTTACGAGTATCTATTTGAACAAATGGAAAACTCAGATATCTTTGACTGCTACGCTAACAGCGTGAGAATAACAAAAATGAATGGAACAATAAAATAGAGAAAAACAGAATCCCCTAAGAGAGCCCGACACGGCAAATAGAGAATAACATGCTACTGTCTTTTGATATCAATTTTATCAGGCGAGGCTGATATGGGCTAGAAAGGGCGAGGCTTGCCGAGCCCTTTCTGCCCATATCAGCCGAGCCTGATAAAATTGATATCAAAAGACAGTAGCATGTTTTTCTATTTATCATGTAACACATAAAAACTGTCAAAATAGCAAAATAATCTACTTTTAAATAGCGAATTCCGTAAAAAAGTGGATTTTTGTTTAAAAGAAATAATTCTTGAAAACAAATTCCTCCGCCCCTGAAACTTAGAATTTGTAAATAAAATGGCGGCCATTTTTTTCTTTCGACTCCGATAAAAGATAAAACAGAATGTAGGTCTAACATGATAAAATTCTTACCTTTAATTAAAACAGTGATCCAAAAAATCCCTTAGAATCACATAAACTTTACTCAAATTACTGCACTTTTTGTCTTAAATTCAAAATTGTAAAATTCAAAAGTTCACGATAATTTCAATCAAACAAAAGTCCAATTTGCATTCAAACACAAGCTTCACAAAGATGCGTCTTATTTTTTTAAACGAAACAATTTGTTCACTTATTTAATAATCCGGCAAAATAAAGTAAACAATCATAAGTAACTGTTCTCAAAGAAAATCGTCAAGCCTGTTTGTTATGTTTACATGTATAGTATGACGTGAACATTGATGATGTCATTTGCAATATAAATTATGACGTCACTTCATTTAGTTGGTGTTAAAACTATTCGTTATCTAATTTATTCGTAATTGAAATCGAAATAATAAATAAATAAATATCGCATCTTGATTTAAGACTTGTAAGGGTATGCAATGACATTGTAGATTCACATGCTGGTGAAAATGAGATTATAAGCAATTGAAAAAAGTCCGTTAGAAATGGGCGGGGCTTATTTTTGATATCAGGTTACTGACCTGATATCAAAAATAATTATCAGGCAAGTGTTATCGGGCAGTTACCATAGCAGTTGCATGATAAAATTGAAAATGTTGCAGGCTCGGTTTGATTGAGCCTGTTCATAGACGGTACTGGATATGGCTAGTTATCGTCCATGCCCCTAGCACCGGCTTAAGCAGAATTCACAGTAAATTTGCAGGCGACAAAACGATGTCATATATATTCGTGAGTGCAAACAATTGATATTGTTGATGAACTAGCTAAATATTAGCGTCAATGTACTACATAAGTCATCGTTATTTTATGTTATATTTATATCTTTTATCATTAGTCATCATCATCATCATCATCATCATCATATTTGTCATTGTCAGCCATATTATTATTATAATTATTATCATCTTTTTCTTATTAGTAATGAATGAGTCACTATTTCGTACGAACGCCTTCTTCGAAGAAATAATGACAAATCAAACATCGAAATGTTTTTATTCCGGTTTAGTAAGAATAACTCATCAGTTCGTAATTGTTCAGAATATGTGACAATTTGTTGAGAAAATTTACTTAATATCAAGACCGTCTACACTGATATCATTTTTATTTTACTAGGGTCATTTTTGAGAAATTTAAGTCTTGCTGTACTTCTATATTTTTGTATAGTTTTTTCTTTTCACACTTTTCTGTGTGGCAACATACATATGAACGAAAATGTTTCCATTCTTGTTTTTGCTTTTTGGTGCTTTTACAAACTTCGCATATAGCAAAGATTTACCTCAGGTCATTAGTGTAACTTGATTAACTTGTGGGTGAAGTAACAGGCGTTAGCTTTGACCTCACACATGAAAAGAGTTTACGGCGAACATTTTGAAACATAGTTTTCCGCAAGTTCCATACATTCACATACAAACGTCAATTCAGAAACAGAGAGAAAACGATGTTTATCTCCCGTTGACCACTCATCCTAACTAAAAGAGCAATTATTTTCCTGTCATGAACAAAGGGAAGTGAAGCAAAAACATCGGTCACTCAATCTGTCGCACTTTGTTTGAATAACTATCTTTAAACAATACGTGAATCAATACGACAAAACAGCTGAAAATCTTGATGATTTCAGATATAATACACAGGTTTATTTAACCAGTAACTTATATCCAAGATCTATTAGGCCAACTGGAAACCGCAACATCATTATATCTCGGAAAAAAATATATCTTCAGTATCAACTAGTGTTACGGGTGCTGTTCAGATTGTCGTTCAACAAGGTCAAAAAAAAATCAAATATACCGTTGTACAAAATATGGGTCATGTTTGGCTAGCGGCAAAATGTTCCCGTGTTATCTCCTCTGAGCCATTATCGTTAGGATCGGTGTAAATGTCCCAATACAAACGTGACTTTAGACTGGCCTAGGATGAATTGTGCATTGATAAGACCGAACTGATTTAACCTTACATGAATGGATTTGTACGACATTTATTTTGACAAACTATTTGATCACTTTAGACATACCGTCAATGATTTATATTGCTAACGCTTTTAAAGGTTGTTTTATTGCAGTTCTGATATGAGCGAACACATTAATTGCGCAACACACGAAATTAAAGCGCGATGCTTAAGAATTCAACAAGTTATTAAAAACTTTCGCCACATCAACAATGAAAAACTGAAAAAAAATGTAGATGCACACAAAAGTATAATATATTTTTGATATTTTTATTATTATTATTTTTATTATAAATACATTCCTATCATTAGAGGACCATTTCCGATCATAAGATATATATCCAGATAGTCTAATTTCTCTTTGTCTAGCAGATTTTTAGTTGTCCTTTTGGATTGTATATTTGTCAATTTTGGTATTTATAGGTCACATTTGGAGAAGGGAAGTTTTATCACGACGAGCCTTTTGGAGATCTGAGCAAGATAGCTTAAGATAACGCTTGACCTTCTCTAACACAGGTTTCAAAATGATTTTCTTTAGAGGTGAACAACAATGGATATTAATTGGTAATTTTTTTTTATAATTTACGAGTTTGTTACCGTTTTACAACTTTTAGTGTTACATATCTGAAACGTTTTGATATATTTGATATTAGAATAAATAATAGATAATAAACCTTGCATGTTTCGGTTTATATTCACATATGAATACATATATATGATAATAGAATTGTAGGACGACTATTATATAAAGAATTTTCACAAGAATTTGTGCAAAGTGTTTTTGTCGCAGACTTATGTTTTAAATAAAGTTTCGTTAAAAATCTTTCTTTTATTTTTTATTAGGGACGTATGATACATTTTATGTGAGCTGTATATTAAGTTATATATATGTGTCTTTGGCACGTGACTAAATACACAATGTGTGTGTTTTTGTTTTTTGTTGTTTTGTTGTTGTTGTTTGATTGTTGTTGTTTTTTTCCAAATATTTTATGATTTACAGAATGCAAGAAAAAAAATCACCAGCATATATTATGAAGAACATTCTAAACATGTTAACATCAGTACCCTTTATAAAATTTATAAAACATTGTTATGCATTTTTATTTAAAATCAATTAAGAAACACGGAAAAGAGAAAGGGAGATAATCACTCTCCTTGTTGTACACCTAGTACACATTCGTAGGATTCACTTAATATATCCCTTGCATAAACTGTTGTTTATGTGTTAACATGACACTTTGTAATATTTAGAATGTTTCCACGTTATCCTAACCATATCATTTTAAGCCATAGATTATCATGATTAATAAAGTCAATAGCTTTAGTAATATCAATGAAGGAATAATGAAGCATTTGATTAAGCATGAGAGTAATATAACCGTGTAGAACACAGATAATATCAGTTGATCCCATATTTAATATAAAGTCTTTTGCGTTTTTTTATTCGCCAATAAATACTGTTCGGGTGACGTTTTAAAAACCGATAACGTTTTTCTTTTATAATTACTGACCTTTTATAACACCTTTTTTTAAATGCCAATATTTAAAGACCATATATTTTTTATCTTTATAATTTTTTAACCAAAATCATCCTTTTTATATCACCATAAATTGATTCCCCTTAAAAATTTAAACACTTTATTAAAAAATATTTTAAAACATTATTCAATACCAAATTTAATTTTTCGGAATTAAATTTTTAAAAACATATATTTTATACACATAAAATTTAATGATAAATATTTTATTTTATACGTTTTTTAAACAAAATTCTTTTAAAAAACAAATAATTTATTTAAATAAAATATATTTTGAAATTTTTTTATTTTAAAAATTTGATAAAAAATAACTTAAATTTTTCATTTTTTAATCAAAATATGTATATTGAATAGCCAAATATTTAATCATATATTTCATAGCCATATATTCCATAACTATATATTTCATAACCATATATTAAATGAACATAGTGATTAATGATAATTTAATCACTATTAATATTAATCACCATATGGGCTGCGTCATGACAAAACCAACATATGGGGTTTGCGACCAGCATGGATCCAGACCAGCCTGCGCATCCGCGCAGTCTGATCAGGATCCATGCTGTTCGCTTACAAACCCTATAGCAAGTAGAGACACTGCTGGATCCTGCATGGATCCTGATTAGACTGCGCGGATGCGCAGGCTGGTCTGGATCCATGCTGGTCGCAAACCCACTATGTTGGTTTTGTCGTGACGCGGCTCATATATTAAATATCTAAAATGATTTTGAAAGTATTAACCTCATATCAATTAAATGACAATTTATTATATTCACTATGAATTTTTAATCTTCACAAATATATTTAAGAAACATATTTTTAATCACAAAACAAATTTGCACCATAAATTTAATCACTATATTTCTATGGTCATATAAATCAACCAGCTAAAATAATATCATATACATCAAAATTAATAATATGTAATAGCATATACTTTTTACCATTCCGGCATATCTAGTTGTGTTTGTTGTTTTCAGTTACCTTTGCACTAACAGTACTACATATAGTGTCAGGAAATAGTGTCTGTCTACAGTGTAGTAATCTGCCCCACCCCTGGGATTGTAATAGAGCTATAAAATGCAACGCACATGAAGTAAGTGATTTATATGTTCTATTATTCACTTATATAAGATATTATTCTATATTTACTTTATATAAGATATAATACTATGTTTCACTTATAGAATATAAAATACTAAATTTCACTTACATAAGATTTAATTCAATAATTCACATATATAAGATAAAATACTATATTTCACTTAAATAAGATATAATCCTATATTTCAATTACATAACATAAAATACTTTATTTCACTTATATAAGATATGATTCTTTATTTCACTTATATAAGATAGCATTCTTTATTTCACTTATAACAGATATAATTCTATAAGTATATTATTAGTTATTAAGATTTTTGACATGTTATATGGCCCATTATAATCGGTTGTTTGTATGTATATTGATAATTACCGTTTATATACAGCCATATAACCTGGAATCGTTATACGGCATGCGTGAGATTTTTGTATAAATTGACAGCAGCCGTGTTTATAAAACTATATAAACATCACCAGTATCCAATGTAAAGCAATGTTACAAATGTGAAGTATTATAAAATAAATATACACTTTTAAACAAAACTTAAAGTATACTTTGTATCACTTATTTGAAAGAGGATTATAAATGTGTTTTTCATTGTGGGTAAAATGTATCTTTGTCAATCCATACAAACCGAATGGTATATCCGATTTACTTTCAACATACAATGGTGTGTTAGTAGTTTATAGTAAAAAATGTCTAAATAATTAATGTAGCTTGATAAATTCTGAACAAGGCAGAAGTGCTAACACACTTTTCTCTATGTAAACTATTGTTCAATACTTAGTCTTACCTCTGCAGTTCTTAACCTGGCGATTACCTTTGTTGAGATCGCGTTGTCTTAGTTTGAATTCGGTTAAGTCCACCAGTTTACAGTTAGTGGGGTTTTAATATAAAAAAAACACAAATATTTAGTGACCATATGTAAAATAGAGCCTCTCAGAATGCACCACTGTTGTGCATTATTGCCTGGCACTGTGTAGGTGGCGGAAAGAAAGAAAAAACATAATGTTTTATTCAAGCAGTGTAAGATGTGGAAAGTGTAACACCATTTGTATATTATAAAACTGATTTTCTTATTATCCATTGATAGTCCTGCTACGTGGAACAGGTGGTGACTATATCAGGAATCATTGTTTATAACTCGGGATGTGCGTCCGAACAGGTACCTATATCATACTACCTTAAGAAATCGTATTAATTTGTTTTAAAGCTGCATGCCGCCAGATGAGCAAAAATATTTGGAAAAAAATCCAACCAGAGGAAAATGTACGAAGACTTTAGGAAAAGTAAAAAGATTAACATTTTAGTAATAATTTACATGTTTTATGCGATTAATGATAGATTTCTCAGTATGTATCAGCATTTTACTACTGTTTTACTAACACAGTTAAGGCTATTTCCGTATATTTTGACCTCATTTTCATGGGTTGTGAGTGCTGTTTGTAATGTATCATTTTTTGTCCTTTTGGCTACTTCAAGGTTTTTTACTTACAAAAACATTTTCAAAATTTTCATGAAAATTAGCGTGAATCTGGAGGCATGCTGCTTTAAAATGTTTTGTTTAAATAACTAATGTTAGGCATATTGTCATCTTTCTATGACATCCGATGTAAGAATACAAGTTTGGGTTTAATGGACCAGTTACGGACCTTACATTAAACTATGTTATCGATTTACAAGGTACACACCATTCATAAAACAGAAAAAATGGAAAGCAAAATGAATAAACTCAGCAATAACTATCATATTAAATTGTGGAGTTTTCTTTTAGAAATGGCCAAAGAATAGAACTTGCAAAGGCCTGTCCTCATCCTAACATGGCAATGCTTATTTTAAACTGGTTAAACCCAATATCTTTAAAATGAATTGATGATCCGACAATGTTTTTTTGTTTTTTTTAGAGGATAAAAATTACTTCATAATTTGTCAGCATCTATGTACACAGAGTATATAAACGTCATGCACGTTAATTGAACGGACAGCGACGTTACAAACATGCATTTTATATATTCTTTCTATACACTTAAATTCACTAAATTAGTTTTATCGAATCAATCAAACTAGAATACTTAAACGTGTATTCCCAAAACGGCAAATCCCTTTTTACTGTATAAGTCGATTCCCGTCAACACGTCGCATAGTGTATAAAGCGATGTTAAACAAGTCCCTAAATATTTTATAGTTTATTCCTATTGATAAAATTTTTTCTGTATAAAATGATAACAAATGTTTGCACCCGATATAATTCAGATTTCTGACTTCATCAAAACACATAATTTCCGCAAACTAGAAAAAATAGCAAGATCGTTACTTGTTTTATTTACACTATTTTTCCCCTATCAGAGTTTAGAGATAACGAAATACTTCAATTGAAGGTTAAGTGGTACATAAGGAAAATAAACTGTAACTATAGCTTTTTTTTCCAAATATATAAAAAAATAAATTATAAAATCAGTTTTATCATAAGACATTATTAATGATTTCTGTGGGAAATGACATTTTAAAAATTGATAGGAAGTGTTAAAACATAGGATATGTAAAGAATTGAAAGGTTAATACATTTATTGATTGTTTGATTGATAATTATTTGATTGATTTGTTAGTTAATCAATTAAATTTTGAATCAATTTACAACAACTTTCAGAAATGCAAAGCAGGTGCAAGTTTAGGTGGGAAAAGGTCGGTATTATATACAGAAGATATGAATCAGCAAAAAAGAAGTTTTGATGCATTAAGTGATTCTCACGACAAATCTGTTCATGACCATCACGTTGTTGAAGGTCCTATTGAAGAAGCAAGCGTGTATGAGGAAGCCGATACAGATCTCACAACATGTTTGAAATGCTGCAATGACTCCAACTACTGCAACCAAAATCTGTGTGATAACACTTTACAGCGTATGTATTATATTTTAGTCTACCACCGCTGTTGGTTCGACTCCCGTAATAAACTTTGAATTATTCATGTATTGACCTACGCCTGTGGGGCATCCTAGGCGGAGTGGTTAAGATCGTTGACTTCAAACCACCTGCTCCTCACCGCTGTGAGTTCGAATCCCGTCAGGGACTTTGGATTAGTTTATGTGAGGAAGCTATTCAGCAAGCTTACGGTGTTCTACTCAGGTCTCTGTTCGTATCTAAATTAATGCACGGAAGGGCACTTGAGGTCTTCCTCCGCAAGTAAAGCTTGTCGCCATATGACCTATACTGTGTCGGTGTGAGGTTAAACCCAAGCAAAAAAAGAAACAAAAATACACCTTCTAGCAAGCTGACGTACGTAGCAAAGGTGTGTCTATTCAGTTATCCACTTGAACTTGCTTTAATTCAGGGAGGGTTACCTGAGATATTCCTTCACAGGTAACCTCAATTTGTTTTCAGGAAGGCAATTAATAACCTATATTTCGCTTTATGTAAATTTACGTATATTAGATATGATTTATTTCTCATAAGTATTGATGTTTGAAGTGACCATAATATTCGTCTATTTATTACAAGCGACCCATCCAAATCAGACATACTGCTTGAGTTGCTCAGATGTTGTGAATCCCTCTGATTGCGAATATCTTGTCCTGTGTAGTAAAGGGCAGGTAAGAATGATTTAAATACGTAGCTCTAAATATAAAGAATGCCTAAACTTATAGTATTGCTAAAGATAAACTAAGTACCATGCTGTTTTGTTGACGGCCATATAAGCTTTGCGTTTAAATCAATCTAATGCAGGTTAAAATATAAAAAAGGGACAGAGCTTTGGGGTCATTGATATCAAAACCGAAAAATGTAAATATTGCACAGGCTTTACTCGTAACGTTTATGGGAGATAAAAGAAAATGCAACATTGCTCAGGCCCTCCTAGCCCCGTCTAAAGTGGTACTTTTTTGCACTTCACATATTTGAACCGAAGATAAGGAAGACATATCAATAGGAGATGAATTGAAATATCGTTTAACAAATATCATCTGTAGAGCATTTTATATTTCAAATGAGATTCAGGCATAACAAATAAAGGACAAATAATATTTAAAACTTCTTTTTGGGTTTCAAATAAGATTGTAACCGAAATTTATCCCCGATATGCATGCAAAAATTAAGAAACAATGATGTTTGTGAGGTTTAAATAATTCCCTATTACATTATTTCTTAAAATTTTTTTCATGCTGTGTTACACGGAGTATATCAATGAAGGTGCAATGGTACAAAAGGGGGATGTATCGCAAGCACGTAAACTTTAAAACATTTAATTTTTCATAAATTTGATCTTCTTTTTGTGCTTTGTGCTATTTTGGTGTCACTTTGTATTTTGCTGCGTTCTGTTTATTGTCACTGTGTTTGTTAAGAACAACAATAATGGAAAATAGGAATCTAATAAAAACAAAAAAATGATGAACTTAAACGCCCCATTGACAAATCAAAGATTTAAAATATTTAATAACAGACCTTCAATTCTTTGTTGGTGTTTTTGCTGTTGTTGTTTTGTTCTATAGAAATGACCGTTCGCACAAGATTAAAAAAAACAATAATGCAGGAATCTGAGAAACAGTTTTGTTCTCAATGTTTCGAATAAATGTGATACGATCGTGTTAAAAATCAACGTGTCTTCCCGCTACCGAGTACAAGTCCTCGGAAGAAACCGGCATTCTATTTAACTTTTTTAAGATAACCAGTTAACAGGCAATTATACTTTTGAGGAAAATGTATAGGGAGTTCTTTTTAAGTACGAACTGTCTTTTGAGTGAAATCTTCTAATATTTATCTAAGTGCACGAAAGAAAATGAATAAGTTTAGATCTCACTCTGACCCATGAACACACTGAATCCCGAAAGTAGCAGCAGTTTTGCTGAATATGCGAAGCAGGTGATGGACTCGTTTCTTATGAAATGCCCTTTTTGTTGCAAATGGTCGGGCCTGTGATTATAAACAGATTATGTTATGTTTTGTTAATTATATTTTATCTTCTAAAAATTAATCAAACAAATCAAACAAATATGTTGTTTTATTTATTTTTTTACCATGAAGTATGGTATTAAATCAGTCAAATATACTTCATATTTGTAAGAAATAAATATGAAATATAAATATGGAAGTGGGAGGAGTCAAAACGCATATTTATTGTAAGGGACTTCTTTCGCCATTTTGTTTAAAAAATCTGATAAATAAAAAACAACCTTTTGTTGATTGTTTTTTGTTTTGAAAACTATGTAGAATGATAGAAAATGGTCTAACTAAGAACATAAATCCGAACACCATTATCTTTAATTCAGTCAGACAGACGATTAAAAAAAATTTTACGTGACGTCACAATGTAGCGCAAAACATCGCGTGCAAAACAAGACGCATCTATAAATAATCAATATATTACTACGCGCTGTACAATTGCAGTTGCGTCGCAATCAAGGGGATTCGTAACCATTTTTCTTTGATAGTAAAATTAAATAAAAAGGTCATTTTTTGTTTATCATGAAATATGGTATATATTTTTCACGAAACATGATAAAAATCCTCATATTTTCACTCGCCGTCCCGGTTCGTGAAAATATGTGGCATTTTATCATGTTTCGTGAAAATATATTCCATATTTCACTTAAACAAAAACAATATCTTCATATTTTATATCTTTATCCTATTTGAAGAGCATGTGCATTGTGATATTCATTTACATCAAAGTCGGCCTACATTTAGTATTTTCTCAATCTGCACTGTTCATAAGCCAGCAATAATATTTTTATCTATCTATAATTTATTAATGATCAATGCTACTATTTAGAATAAAAGTGCAAATCCGTAACAGCCAACAGTTTCAGGTTAAATTTGCTTTTGTTGTTTACTTAGTTCAAATTGAAGTGAACACTGACACTTATTAGTACACACAATTCATATCTTTGCATCTAGAAACACATTTTTGCGCCGCCTTCGATTCTTTGTACCGTACTATTTACCAGCATAAGCAGGTGTCAATTCCGTTCACTGAATTTGATACACCACTTGTTGTGAAAATAACGCTGTTAAATTTATACTTCCACTTAAAAGAGCAATCCTAATAATTTTAACACTCAATATTTATGAAATCAGTGGTAAATTATCGATAGAATCCATACTCACTGAGACTTCTAAAAAAAGAAAAGGGCATGCGAAAGATATTTCAGATTTATCATATGCAAAAGCACATGCTTAACTGTATTTAACCTATGATAATATTTGATTACATGAAAAGCATGTAATAATAATGCGTTGTCGAAACACATGTTTGTTAACAAATAAATTACGTAACCACACATATAAAATTTCAATTTAGGTTTAAGTCACTTCTGCCGAATCTACTTTAATATACATATATTTTGTAAGAAGATACAAATCATGTTTAAAATGCAATAGACAATTGTTTGGAATATAACTTTCCACTTTACGGGTGGAAAGCACTCATTTATAACTGCGTATTTACTATTTCATTCAACAATTCCAAAATATTTTAATTTTAATTCAGGCATGTGCCAAAACAGTTGCTACCAAAAGTCCTTCACCGAGCTTGGTAGGAAAGAAAAGATTTGTGGCAGACGATCAAATTGGGATGGAAAAATACTGCAGCAAATGCTGCCAGGATGCCGTTGGCAACTGTAACCGAGAGCTCTGTGGAATGTCAAGTAACATATCTTCAGGTAACAAACAATATGTTTGTGACGGTATCGCTTGCGACCTTTGCTTTAATCTGTACTTTGTACTGACTTCTTATAAAACCAAGCAATAAAAGGTATCCAATTACATTTTATTGGATTCTTAATTATACTTTTTCAAGAAAATGGACAATTATATTTTGCACCTTCAAAATTAAAATTAATTATTTATCACATACCTGTACAGATTGTGGGACTTCGTAAAAGTGGTATTGCACGACCGTGCATACTATTTTCGTGGGCCGTAATTTGCGTTATACAAACCTTAGTGCAAAGACGCGCTAGACGTTAAAATACCCTAAAGGCGCGTCAGTGAAAGATAATTTATTTGCATTTTTAAAAGTCTTTATTTTGATATGCGTTAAATCGCACATTATATTCGTGTAGGTTCATTACTGAATGTAATAAAATAATGTCATACTCGCCATAGGTAATCACATTATAATTCTGTTGAACTCTGTCAATTAACTTCTACTGATTCAATATCCTTTATTCATGCAAATCATTGCAGACAAATTTAAGCGAAAGAAGTTTTAATATAAAAGTAATAATGCAAATAAGGAAAAGGTACTGTTGATTATATAGTCCTAAATTTCTAAATGATAATGATTTCAGGCGCCGTGTTCACTAAGATATAAGGATCAGGATTTCACATAACATAAATATAGAGTTTTAGGATAAGGTGTTATGATTATACTATATATGTACATTCTACAGTTGATCGAAATATTGACCTTGATCCGAAAAGTGATCCTTATTTTATCCAATGATTATTTACTTTTTTAATCTTCTATTTTTTCCCTAAATAAGGTTGTTTCTTTGCAAATCAGCATTTTTCACAGTTTATTTATTTACCAAAATACGATCAATTTTAGTTTTAAAATATAATAAATTAAATTGATTCATTTGATCCTTATCTTTTTAGTAAACACGGGACCAGCTACTCCTGACAATATAATGTTGCTGATAATCAAATATGATATAACAAATTTGTTACAGGAATTGATGTTTTAGAGCTGATCACGCCTCCGGAAAGACAGGACTTCTGTGTAGATTTATTCCCAGCATCATGTCAAATAGTGATTCTGCAGTCTCCAGAGCTTTGCAAAGACCCCAGATACTCCTCGTATGCATGTAGAGAATTCTGCGGCACATGTGGTAAATGATCAAACATTTTTTCTCATTTTTTCTCACTCGTTTGCTTTAATAAAAGTTGCGAATAATTTCTAACGGATAAATATAAAAGACTTTGGTATATTCTCTGTAGCATTTCATGATTTCTAAGCAAACTTAATTTTTTCTTAATCAAAGAATGAAAAATTAATTACAACGAGAAAATGGTTACAATTAATAATTGTACTTCATACTCATTATATGTCGAGAGACACTTATGTTCTTGGTTTACTATGTCAGTCACTTAATTAAGGATCCAACGAAATTGTATTTTCTCTGCTGTAAAGTTATTAAATATTATTTATGTTTCACATTATTTGCAATTTGCTTATTTCAAACACAAACAATCCATGAATTAAAAATCCTCGAAAAAAATCCATTTTTGTTAAAACACGAATCTTCTTGCCCTGCTGTATTAAATTAATTCACATACTGTCCTACATTTTCCTACAGAACAGAAAAGAACAGAACAGATCCGAACATTTCTTTATTAACTCAAACATGAGAAACACATGAGTATACATAAAAATCTGTTTTGATTCACTGTAAATTAACACTTGACATGCTTTTATTCAGTATTGCTACATAGAATGCAAAATTATTTAAGGTGTTAATAAATGAGAAAACTAATAATTATCAAGGAAGTTTTAAAAAACCTACCGACTGAAGGGGGTAGAAACACAAAAGTTTATTATGTCTATTTTATTTTTGTTTTACAGTCAATCCAGGCCATAATACAGGTAAACCGCCAACAACCGTCCAAGGTAGTAATACAGGTATAAAAACTTTGTATTTGTTCTTAAAGATTTTAAATTGCCTAGTTTAAAGAAAATGCCCGTTTGTTCGATAAAAAATGTCCTTAAAATGGATTGTATCGAAACATTTCAGGGATTCTTATGTAAAGTTAATATCGTAATTCTCAAATTACAACTTAACATAACACAATCGTGTTTTTGTTTTCTTTCTTTGGAAATTTTGCTTCGAATACAGTCGTTTCGTTTCTGGATTGAACAACAATGACCTTTCAGCTTTTTCTTATTCATCATTTATCAACAGTAATTCTACATGCAATATAATATTAGTATTAATGTCATGTTTATTATAATTGAAAATTGTAAAATAGTCTTCTAACAGTTTTATGAAATAAACTGCAATAGGTTTCAGTATAATTAATCAAGGAACTTAAATCAGCGATTGGTTTTATTAATAATTGTTTGTTTATATTATTATTCTTATGGCAAACGTTTCAGTAATATCTATTACTCCAACAAAACCGGCTACTACAACAGTACCACCAACTGGTAAGTTTAACTTACTCAACTTTAAGAAATAATCATTTGTTTCACACCGCTGTTAAAGTCGGTTCTCATTTCGTCTGTGACTTTAGATTCGTTCATGTGAGAAAGCCATCTCGCTAGCCTACAAAAGATCGATGGTTTTTACTAAGACAGCAGCTTTCTTTGTCTTATATAAATGATCCTACATCCAGTTTTCTTGAGCCCGAAAATCTAGAAAGTATTGTTAAGTATTCTTTGAACTCTTATGTCGATGTAAACACAAGAACTATAAGAATCATTAACGATTTACACAAACACATATGAGTAATCAAAATACATGCTTTTTGACACAAAATCACGTTAAGGTAAGTGCATAAGTGTCAAATTTAATGTACCGTCAAATATATTTTGCTACTTTTAGTAGGTCTTTTGTTTTTGTTTTGTTTTTGGTAGTTTCTTTGTTAAGAAGAAATCATTTTAATAATTCAATGAAAGTCAAACAAAACATCAGTCTTTCTTATATTAAAGTAGCACTCATTTTATTCTATTTTCAGATTGTTTCTATGACAGTAACAAATATATGGGTGCTTATGCAACCTCTGTTTCTGGAAAAACTTGTTTGACCTGGTCTCAGCTTGACCCAACACTTGCCGGCTTCCCTGATGAGTCAATAATTGTTGCTGCCAATAAATGTCGGGATCCAGACAGTAAGTTCTTTTAGCTTATTGATTCTATATATTTTGCGTGTGTCCACATGCAGGTTGGTACCCATATATATATGATTTTTAAATAACTTGTTATAATTTTATTCATGTTATAATATATATAGATATGTTTACAGTAACTATTATTGTTTGCTCGGAACAATTAGTTATATCATATCAACAATACAACAATAGCTTACCAGGTATGATAAAACAAGTTCTCGGGCCGATATACTTCTTGCCACTACACATTTACACATGAAACGTCAATACCGATATCGTATTAAAGATTACTGACCGAGTTACACGCGGTTTTACACAGATTAAGTAATATAAAACACACTTTGATCAGTTAGATGGGTGTGTCATTTAGACCAAATGGAGAAAGTTGAAATCAAAGCCGTCATTAAATACCTCTGTAGAAAGGGATGTCCTAGGAAGTCGGAGTCCCCTACAGCACTGTGAGAAAATGGGCTGTTGAATTTAAAAGGGGCAGGGAGAGCATTGGAGATGACGAGCGGCCTGGGCGGCCAAAAGTGGCCACCAACGATGAAACTGCCGAAGCTGTGCACTATCTGGTCGTGTGCGACAAAAGACGAGACCTGCGAAACATTGATAGGAAGTGGGTGTAACCTTTGGTTCAGTTCAGGCAATTCTGACTGATGTTTTTGACATGTCAAATGTTTCCGCTAGATTGGTCCCCAGAGAGCTGACTGACGACCAGAAACTGACCAGGCTTGACACGATACGAGGATGAACCTGATTTTATCTACCGGATCGTAACTGAAGATCAAACATGGGCCAATCACTTCGATCCAGGATCCAACAAAATCAGAGCATGCCCTGCCTCACCCCTCCGAAGAAATTCAAGAGAGTGCTGTCAGCAAGACAGATGATGGCTTCATTTTTTTAGGATAGTCAGGAGATAATCATGATTGACTTAAGAGCAAGGTCGTGCTATAAACGGTACGTACTATGCAAACGAGTTGAGACATCTGCGTCAAGAAATCGCGCGTTACAGGAGGGGCAATCTCACTCAATGCGTTCTGCTCCTGCATGACAATGCGTCAGCTAACAAGTCCCAAGTTGGGAAGGCTGCTGCAACTGACTGCGCTTTGAAAATATTATTCCCCATCCCCCATATTCTCCGGACTTGATTCTCTTTGACTTCTACCTGTTTCCAAAACTAGAAACCAAGCATCGTGGTAGACGTTTTAGAAGCAATGAAGGTGTCATGGAGGTGGCCAATGAGTTCTTTGAGGACCAAAATAGAGAATTCTATTCTGAAGGGTTAAACAAGTTAGTGCACAGGTGGGCAAAGTGCATTTATGTAGAGGGCGATTATATATTGAAAAGTAAACATCAGTTGGGTTCTCTGACTACCGGAAGTAAATCGGGCCAAGAACTTTTTGATCAATCCTCGTATAACTATTATCTTAAATAAGATTTTGGCCTTCAGATGGTCATTTGTTGAACCTCTATTACACCACAAAATGCTAACATCACTGCACACTATGCTTACATCACTGAAAAAATATAAAGAACATTGTCGGCATGTTACTTAGGAGGTTGTCAATTCCAATGTTTGTTTACAATATTATGAAACCGGAAGTTATGTGATAGATGTCCACTTTTGTAGGTTTGTACCTAACCTCGATGTCATTCATCTTTTTGTTCGCAATATCTATCTCCAAAATAGTGAAAACGTCAATTTTCTTATCTAGTTGGGCAAGTTTTGAAATATCTAAATTGTTGTACATGTATGCTTAATTAATAAGATTAATTTCATATTTCTATTGCATGCAGTGATGATTGATATTTTTTTACGATTACATACATTTATGATGATTAATATAGAATTGGACTGATTTATTTTTCAAAAGATAACTTGTATTATATGTTTATATATATGTACTCATAGGTATTTGCCTTTTGTTCATATTGTTATTATTATTATCATTATTATTATTATTATTCAACTCTTTCAATGAATTAAGTTTTAAATCTTCTCAAATCAATATACTTTATATACTACAAAACCTTAATAAAATTTTCTTTTTTGTTTTAGAGCGAGGTTTCCCGTGGTGCTACGTATCAGATTCTTTTGACTGGGAATTTTGCCCAGTGCCATATTGTCAGGGTAGGTTATTTCTCAATATTCATACATCCGCATTCAAAGGTAGCTTATAAACATAATCACAATGTTATTATATTATCAATGATTTCGCCATCCTATCTTAAATTTTTATCTATTCCTTCACAATATTTAAAGATACAAGGAACAACATTTAAATGGTTAATTTTCTACATACATCTTTTTATTTAAACATAAAGTTCACAGTAAGGCCGCATACACTAGCTTGTATTCCATAAAAATGTTCACTCGTACTAAATCAACTTTTCCGTCAGTGTCGAGATTGGATTTCTTTAAGGATTCATTGTTTACTTTTTGCTGAGAAATATAACAAACATTTTTAACATATCATTAAATACTCTCTGTAAATAAATATAAATGAACATATGTATATTATATTCATTTACGCAAAACCTGACGCTATATTCCTTGACGCAGTAAAATAGTCATATTAATACGAAAAAAAATGTAAATAACTAACGCACTATATCTTGCAATTACCACTGGATAAATTAAACCGAGTATGCAACATTTTCACAATTGGCTTTTTTTGGACGGTATTAATTTACTTTTTCTAATTTGCTAAATAGCTAACACATGGTCCTGTGGTTTCACTAAAAGTACCCTTAATGCAAATCAAGAAAGAGCGTATTATATTCGTGCACTAGTGAGTGCTTCTCATTTTACTCATTAATTAGCACACTGTTAAAACAAACCTAAGCAACAGGACAAATTGTTTTTTCCAAACACAGTATCTTCAAATTGAACGATATATTTTGTACAAAACTTATATCACATGATAATTATCACTTTGCTTGTTATTATGTTATAATATCAAGACTATTATTTGCCCCACTTCAATACCATCGGCATAAAAAGTTTTTAATTTAAAAAATCTCAGTATTATACAATTGGCCGATACAATATGCTTTCGACTTTGCAAAATATGATAATGATTGCTGACTATTAAATTATATTAACATTAAAAAACAGTCATTTTGTCTCGCACTTTTTGGCTACAACTATGCTTTCGTGTTTAAAAAAATACATACAAAAACAATTTGCTTATTAGCAACATTAAACATGTTTTGGCTTGTTGCATAAGCGAAACTTTGCAACTGCAAAAAAACGACATTATAAATATTTTACTTTTTTACAAAATTTCTTTTAGTAGTAAGTGTTTGTTTTATCATGTTTGTATTTTAGAGTGTTTTTATGCGAATCAAAGTTCACAATATGAAGGCTATGTAAATGTTGATAGCGAAAACAATACATGCATGTCCTGGACAAATTATGTTGCGAAGACTGGAGACACTAACGTCAATTTTCCAAATAACTCAGTAGCAGATGCTCAAAGCTATTGTCGTGATCCAAAGAGTACAGGGTCACCTCAGTGCTTTAACGGCGTCGAATTGAAGCCGTGCAACATAACACAGTGTCCACGTAAGTTCAACTCTTGTAGTGTATTTGTGTATTTGTGTGTTTGTTTGTTTGTTTGTACGTCTATTTCCTATAGTTAGTTAAGAAAAACAAAATAATACAACCTAAATATTGCAATTCCTTGTCTAAATTAAATATGTAAATAATAAACGATATAGTACTGTTCAAAGAAAACACTCACTTGTTATTTTTCAATTGCCTTTGTCTAAGATATGTTTAGAATATTTATAGGCAATCTCAATCTATTTTAGATGAATGTCAAGACGATCCGCAGACGAATTGTGCATTAGTTCAAAAATTTGTGTGCAAGTCTGAATACACCAGCGCTACTTTATGCCCGAAAACGTGTAATATGTGTAGTAAGTAAACGTCATCGTTTTTCCTTAATTGCTTTTGTTGATATTTCAGTATTTAATGAGTTATCACGTAAACAACAAGGTCAACATAATAACAAAATATTTGGTAAACATCACACATTCGTGCATGGCCTGATTCCTAAATACCATTAAATTAATCGCGTTGTTTTCTTATTTCATGTAGATTAGAATACTACCTATACTTGCTAGTGTTAACCTTTTCTTGTTGATTTAATTATCAATTTTTAACATTGGTATTTAATAACATAATGTTTGCTAACTTCAGAATTTGGATTACTCCCACCCGTAAAATTGGCTCCACCTGCAGGTGTATATGCTTATATTTCTTTCTTTATTTAAATGCTTAATGTTTCAAACTTTTAAATGAATTTATGTGATATTCTACAATAGATATATAAAAATGTAGTTCACTTTGCTCTGTAAAGCGCATTACGTTATTTAACATTAGTAAGATACACATGTTTTATGGATTGAAAACAAGTCTGATATCTTTCCAGCGGTTTATGAATAGTGAATAGTATCACTCGCAAAGAACTATGCTATAAATTTGGTGTTTTGTTAGACGCTTGCAATTTAAATTTATTTTAATGAGCAAATCATATTGTAGATATCTGCGTCGATAACCCTGATGCAAATTGTGCCATTCTTCAGTCTATCATTTGTTCGGACCCTGAAGGTGCTCTTAAACTTTGCCCAAAGACATGTCAAAAATGCAGTACGTAGATACATAATTTTGCATAATGTTTATTTATGATCATAACAGTGAATACTTTATATGTATATTTTTCTGCTTTACTGTATATTTTACCTTCCGTGGCAATATCTTTGTAAAAATATGTTCATAATTCATATATATTTAGGTTATCTGAATTTCTAGACTCTAATTGAATGCAATACATTATATTTATATGAATACGAGTTGAATAGTAATTTATTGAAAACATTTGAAGGAGCTTCTATGGCCGATTCGTTAAGTTTATTGAATTCAAGCCACTTGCCCTTTTATCACTGTGGACACAAATGTCGTTATGGACTTTGAACTCGTTCATGTGTGTCAAGGCTACTCACAGCTAGCATACCGAACGCCGTTGGTTTTTCGCACGTGACGTTCATACCTAGAAACATGCATACAACCACACGGAAAGAGTTCCGCCTTCAATAAATATGAGATATCGCCCACGAGTTAAACAGTGTTTGAACTGTGCTACAAATTATCTAGCCAGAGACATTAAATATATTTGGTCATAATCTTCAATATCTTTGTTTTCCATGCCTTTCATTAAGATTTTTTTTTCATTTTCTTCTTTCAATACTCCGATAACATTATTGAAACTTAATTATTCATAATATATTTTGATATTCCTATTATATTCTGTAATGAGTACTCTTTAATACTTTCATTAAGATTTATTGTATGGTCATTCTACAACCTCCCAAATGACATCATTAAGTACACCTGCAACAATACCTGCACAAACTGGAACTGTAACAACTACAAACACTCAATCGACACCCCTTATGACGTCATCATTACCACCAACAACGCCTACCACTTCTCAGCAACCCTACTGGTTACCATGGGGAAGTTGGCTTTGTCAAGAACAACAAGGTGCATGTTTCCAAAGACGAGAAAGAAACTGTTCGACTGGGAGCGATAACGAGTGTATACAAAGTCAAGGTGGAAAACAATACAACGTTGGTTTGTGCACTGAAATTTCATGTCCAGGTGACAAAATCTTTATTTTATTTTTGTCAATAATCATTACTGGAAATGTTATCATTCATGACAAAAATGTTTAAAATAGTTTAAACATGTTGTGAGATTTTAAAGCTCGATAATAAATTCATGAAAATGTTTAAAGTAAAGGTTCATATATATAAAATTTTCAGTAAGGAATAAAACACGAAATAAATAAAATTTATGAAGGTACACAGTTTAAACTAATGCAACAGATGAGTATGTTATTTGGAATATCAATCTACGAAGGATTTGTAGACCTTCTCGATCAGAAATTACCATGATAGTGAATATATTTTTATTTTACAATTTACTATTTTTCAAGTGATAAAGCTGTGTCTATAACAATATGTTTAAGAATTTCATTTACATAAAAATTATATTGTGTTCATAATACTTTGGTCGATCCTCCAAAAAGTTGTAACACTGAATGAATGTGTCTGTTACTCAACACTTATGAATATTGTAGTTAAACATAATTAAGATGTTCAAACAAAAGGTCTATTGCGCCTCATAAATGCAAGAATTTTTATTTCCACTTTATATATTTTATCTTGTGATAGTTTCTAAATAAATACGCATTTGCCATATATTAACTATCTTTGCTGCTGTTACTGTGTTGGCACTTTGTATAATTATAGTAATTTAGTATTTTGTTTTGAAGTCAAAATACTAGTTTGTTTATTTATTAAAGAATGTGGATTTCTGAGGCATATGTGTCTCTTAAATGTTTAAGAATGTTTTTGTGCATGCAGCATTCGCTATAATGAAATATACTTACATATTTCTTTTTAGTCTGCCATTCGGACGTATTTCTTAACAAAATTCAAAACAGTATGCTATGGTACAAAAAAAAATAGTTTAATACAATTTTAATGATTCAATTATTTTACTTGTACATATCACTTTATCTCTCTCTCTCTCTGCACCCCCCCCCCCCCCTGTCTCTCTCAGTTACTTATCAAACATTTATATACAATGCTCAAAGAGAAAGATGAACATGTGTATATTTTTCTTTCAGAATTTTTCAGCACTACAACGCCACCTACAACAACTCCGAAAGGTTGACTTTTATTACGTTTTTTTTTTTTTTTTTTTGGTTTCACTGATTATCACAAATGATTAAGTTTCCTCATATTTGACGATTATTGTATCTAAATATCCTTATAAACTTTGTTATATATAGTCCAACAATAAATTAATGACGTGATGTTTAAAATTGACTTATCTGTAACAATGCATGGTCGATGATGACAATGACCTTTTCAATTTTGTATAACTTTATGTCACTATTTTACACAAATTGTATAAAAAGATTAATCTATTCAATGCAAATGGTTGTATATTTATTATATAAATTTTAAATAATGCTAGTCAAGGTAGAAAATCGATGTGATGCCTGTGGTGTTTTTTCAATATGTGTTAAGATTGAGTTTCTTTTTATTGTAAACATACTAACCCTTCTTCAAAAAAAAACTTTCTTAGGCTATTCCGTTTTTTATAGTTTGTTTCACGATTCAAATTCATCAGTGCGCACTCTTCATTATACTAAATACATCCATGGAGATTTACCTGAAGTTTCAATCCACTTTCGGAAGCTGGAATGTTACCACATAACGCAAACTTCAAACAAAAATAATTCATAAATAAGTCGTGTAAGGACTACTTTTAAGGATCCGGACCCAAATGACAAATTTCTAATACTTCTATTGTTTTCCAGAAGTTACAAGACATTAATGTTTTAAATATAAAACAATTTCATCATGAAATTTTATAATTGCGTAATATTAGTGCCAAATCACATCTTTGCTTTTGGACTAAATGTTAATCACCACGGCTTATCACTAGAAGTTATGAGCTCCAGTTGATGGGGTTTTGGCTTAACCCACTCATTGCCGTCAGCTTCGGTATTCGTTAACCTTTCTTAAGTTAAGTTTATTGTCATTAAAGTCATACAATTGGACGTTTATTCGTGGAAACACCTTGATGAGTTCTGTCACACTGATTTTGGGATGAAAGGTTAAGTTCTCTCTCGCCTTTAATAGATAAAAGGTTACATTGTAAATTTAATTTTCTTAGAAACTACCAACTATTTACTTTTAATTGGTTTACAATTTTTCAAATTTCTTTCCGTACTGGGCTTTCTTAAGGGATTCTTATTTTGTCTATTTTACAATGTGTTGCAATATCAAAGAGGCAGATAAAATATACTATTGTTCCTCCATAAATATTATTGGCTGTCATCGATTTTGTTATTTTTGATTTTTGATTGATACAGTCGATTTAAATTTATCATTGCTCATTATGTATTGTCTAATCGGGTATACCTTCAGTCTCAATCCACTTTTAAAACTACAAACTCATCATATGACCCTTTATGAAATTTGCATTGAGTAAATATGTTTAAGCGCCACCAGACCACCCCACACCAAAAACAAATACACACATTTTGCAAAACAAAAACAACAATTTTTAAGGATCCGGCCGAAATGAACACCTAATGATTTGAAACTCATTTACATCAATTTTATTTCTTTTCCAGATTGTAAAAGACATTTATTATTTCAAATATCAGAACATTTCATAAGCCAATTTTATTATTTTTATGGTTTTCATAATTTATAATTTACATCTTCACTTTCTGTCTAAATTTTAATCACCATGTCTTATTTCTAGGAATCGTTTGCTTCACTTTTTGATGCCATGATTTACCCTGTGTAACAATAATTTCTCAAAAACTATCATAGATATTTACTTGAAATGATTTACCGTTTTAAGATTAATATCTCAAATGCTGTTTAATGCTCAAGGTATTTGCTTTAAAATTGTTCGCGTTATAAAACAATTATATGCTTAAGGTGACAACAGAGTCAATTATCACTGAAAATACCTAAAATGAGATTTTTTGCTTAGTAGATTTATCAATCTTTTCTGAACACATTCGTGATTTAATTTTGGAAGCAGTTAGTCCAAAAAATGTGTTTTTAAACGTTTTATAACGGTACCTGTATCATTTTTATCTGCTATTCGCGTAACCTGTCAATTATCGATAACGCTCCGCCCCCTGTTGAGGCATCAATGAGGGAAATCGGTAGTTCCATATATGCGTTAATTACCGGTCCATACTGGTCCATACTACTCGTAATCCATGTATCGTACAAATACCGTACTTGATTTACGAAAATCCCAAAATTATATCGTCTACCTTTTATTTAGCCTTTTTTTATAGAATAAGAAATTGTCGGCCAAAGTACGTAACATAATGAATAGTATGAAACATAATTAATTAAGCATAGCGGCAAATCGCACGACCACGGGGTTGATTAAAAATATAGTTGCTAAAATATCCATAATGTGTGAAAATAATTTGTCTGTCCCGTTAATATGATAAATATTACATTGAGTTTATGGACTTTTGTACGGATTCAAGGGCTTGCTTTACATTCAACATCGTTTTCTATCAATGTCAAGTAAAACAACAACAAAAACAGACAACATTTTTTTATGTGAACGCCTATATGACTTGTGGTAAGGTGTCCCTGACAAATATCTAAACCATTTTAGGTTGTCTAAGGATGATTATTTCTCTATGAATCAATAAAGAAAGATAATAAAATATATTATCAGTGAATGTTTTGAATAAATTGTTCGCTAGTAAATCGAACACAGTACTAATAAACCTGGGACAAAGTATGGATTTATTGTATATCCCAGTAGAAACTGGATCTTTATGCCGTGCATAGATGAGTTTCATGAAATTAGAAGTCAAGAAGTTCAGATCATAATGATCGAGTGATACCTTTTATTTCTATTAAAATATGTGAAGCATTTATATCAATTTGGCGGAAAAAATATATAATATCCCGTTCTTATTTGTACATCTACCATGGACTTTAAAAGACTGTCAGAAGCTCAATTTTTTGTTATTTTAATTTATACTTTAACGGAATTTCATACACGATTACACAGACAGAGTGACACTGGTATAATATAATAATAATGCTGATGATAATAATAATAAACTTCAAAAGTGAAACAAATAAATACCCCGCTAGCGGTGCGCAAATACGTTCCATTTCCCCCCACCGAGTGCCTCAAATTTTACCTAAAGTCACGTGACATGTGCGACCGATACCAGACTGACGGTTAATCACGTTAAGATTTGAAGAAATTTATGTTACAAACTGATATTAATCAGCAACTTTTTAATTGGTCAGATGTCACTGGGTCATAAAATGTTGTGAGAGTATGTTGCCGCAACTTGTGACCCTCTCTGGTGCGATATTTGTGTATTATGCAATTATTTAGCGTGAAACGTAGGGGTCCGAGAGAGAACAGCCGATTTATGACACTTTGTTTGATGCGGGTCGGACTAACTTTGTATCGGCATAACTTTTTAATAATCAAGCAATTAACATGCGGTTTAAAGCCAGGAAAGGGAATTCATTTACGGAGGGAACCGTGTCAGGGATTTTTGTTTGCTCAATCAGCGACTTAATTATCTTTAATTACGATATATGTATGGTGAAAAAAGTCGCATAAAATGTTTGACTTTACGTAATATTTTTTTGAGAAAAGATAGAAAAAATTTGAGACACGGTTCCCCAGATATTATAAGTATGTTTATTTTCCAAAAGTTTGATGACAAGAATTAAAAAATGACTTTGATATGACGATTTAAAATTTTAGGATTTTTATTAAAAATCAATCATTTACAAAGGCATTTTTTTCAAATATGTTATCTTTTATGATGATCAAGGACATTTAATTCACAAAGATTAAATAAATAATAATTATTACTAAAATAAGTTGGTTTAAATGACATTTATGTGAGTACCACGGAAAGTGTCTGTTGGTACCTTAAAATAGCCTCCAGACTTAATGATGACAAATCCTTTTCTTCAACGAAAAGATAGCGTGCTAGTGTATGGCATTTTGTTGGGCTTAAATATACATCATAAGAGATATATATAAACAACTTCTAAAATAATGAACAGTATGAAATTCTGCTTTGAAATAGTTTGTATTGTTTATCAGAAACATAACCATAGAGTATCTTAGCATATTGTGGCTAATTTCGTTATTTTTGTTTGTTTGTTTGTTTTAGGTTTTACGTCACATCGACAAAGTATATGTCATATCGCAACGTTCCAGCTAAACTGGTGGAGGGAGACCTCAGGAGCCCTTACGTGCATTATTTTGCATACATATTTTGCACGAACGGGCACCTGAGTAGAACCATCGCCTTTCCGTAAGCTAGCTGGATAGCTTCCTCCCTTGAACGAATCCAAAAGTCCCTGTCGGGATTCGAACCCACATCAGTGAGAGGCAAATGGTTTGAAGTCGACCTTAACAAGTCAGCCATGGACGCCCCCTAATTTCGTTAGAAATAATGTTATTAATACTAAAAATAAACAATTTTCAGATGCCTTGGCCGGAATTCGACCGACCGCAACCTAAGCAATTATGTTAATACCCTAGGATCAAATATTTTCAAGTTATTCGGAAAAGGTGAAAAGCAGACAAAATAATTCTATGTTAAGAATTTACAAAGGGATTTGTTTTCCTCAACCCCATGCTATAAATTAAACGTTTAAGAAGAGAAATAAAACACATCTGAATCGCTGCTAGTGTAAGCACGATTCTCTCTATGTACTTCAAATCTGTCTACCTCTACCCCTTATGTTATCTAATGCGATTTTTGTCTTTTTAGATCCATGTCAAGATGATCCAACATCTATTGGCTGTACAATACCAGATATACTAACTGAAGTATGTAAGGAAAAGGCAGCCGCCTGGAAGCTGTGTCGTCGGTCGTGTGGCTTGTGTGGTTGGTCCTTTAATATTTCCGTTTGATTTCATGAGAAGAAAATCGAACAATCTGAAATAACACATTTAAAAAGTGTTTTTTTGTTATTTGTACAAAGCTAAAAAAAGATATCGGAGATAAGGAATGTTGATATAATGGTAAAATCTTCATACCAAATATTATTTGTTTATAACTTGTAACTATAAGCGGTGTATTTGTTGACTAAAACATCTTTTAAACATAATAAATGTGCCCTTTATTTTAGACTCATGCTGGGATTACCTAAACTGTTCTTCAAAAGGGGCACAAAAAGTGTATTGTGGCAGGGAAGAATATGCTGTTCAGTATTGCAGGAAAACATGTGGGAAATGTGCCCGTAAGTAACATCATAGGGACCAACATTAATATGTACCATTGATAATAATAATAATAATAATAATAATAATAATAATAATAATATTAATAAATAATAATAATTATAATAATAGTAATAATAATTGTTTTACTATTAATGATAATGATTATAATATAAAGTAAATTACTTTATGCGGAAAATTTTATACAACAAATCAATATTGCCGTTGTTATGTTTTTTAAGTGTTCCATGTTCTTAATCATTACGTTGCACTTCTGAGACTTTAATAATTACAATGAGGACATGGTTTTGTGTTGTACGTAATATCGAAGTATGTTTCAAACAGTGAACCTTCGACGAGCGAAATATAATTTTACTTTACAAATCATCCAATTAGATATTGTCCAGCTTCTTTGAAAATTATATCTATTAATTTCACTGTTGAATTATCAAAATATAAGTTCACTGTCCACTTAAAGGGATTTGATAAAGTTGTATCTTCTCGCTTCGTGTCGTTTATTTATTGTTTACATTTAAGTATTAAGACTGAAAATGAGTGTTTACAAGATTACAATTTGTTTATTTTAAAAGCAACTGCATTAAGGGTTACTTTGTGGGCCTTTTGCAGACATTAACCAAAAACCAAGTGTAATGACAAAGTTAATCAATTTGATTATTTCACTTACAGAAAAGCCTGTGGATGTGCAGTTGAATAAATGTGGAGACCCTGTGGCTTCAGAGGTAATCTGTGAACAGCTTCAGAATGAAATTTGTATTTGTAATGACCCCGATCTTCGTGCGCTTTGTGGAAAGTATTGTGAAAACAAGTGCGCAGTATATGGCTACCCGTACACTGGATCAAACTGCCAGCCAGCTGTAAGTTGCAAAACGACAAAAACAATTGATTCAATGGAGTATTATTTTAATCGACAATGAGCATACATATGTATAGTTCAGATATGATATTATACAATTATTGACTAGGGTGCCATTGAATATGATGCGATATTCAAAGGCAGATGACATATTGACTGAGGCGATAGCCGAGGTCAATATGACTTTCTGCCGGTGAATATCACCATCATATTCAATGTCTACCTTGTCAATAATTACTTTATTATATGAGTAGGCTATAAGAATTTAAAAAATCCAATTGAGCCAGTGAATATAATATTACACAAGTGAATATGATTCTATAAAAAGTTGTGCTGACTACTGTTTGGACCATTGAGATTGCAGCTATATTTAGATCATATAATAATACATAGTGTCATATGTTCTGAACCTTTCTATTCCTCTTGAGATGTTTTGCAGGCGTTTCAGTATTCGTATCTTCTTATTTCTTTCCTTATATTATCAATTTCCATTTTGTTTTTGATTTGATCTTGCTGGAAAATTATAAATTTCAAAACAACATAATAGGGTTTTATTTGTTTCCTTTTTGTGAAGAGGCTTTCTGCTTGTTTATAATAAACAACAAGATATATTTCACTGACTGACAGAGTGAGTGGGTGAGTGAATGAGCGCCAATATAAAAGTTGATCTTCGGCAATGAAAAATATCTTCATCTCATATCTACAGTTACATTTATCATTTCAATAAATTCATTTATTAAATGGTTGTAAAATATTGGATTGATAACTGCTGGAGAACGCCATATTTAAGCATGATATCAGCCATTTACACGTCAAAACATAATATGATAAAATATGTTGATGTTTGCTTGCTGTTTGTTATCTGGTGTAAATATTTATGTATTTGATTATATCGTATATACGTTTTTAGCGAAATCTCAGTTAGTATTTCTAGAATAAGGATAAGGATATAATAGTGTATTTCTTAGTGATTTTTTTCCAAATAAACTTTACAATTATCTTTATTATATTTTATAACTACTATGTATTACTATATAATCTTTTTACAGAGGCGGAAGAAAAGGGAAGCAATTCTGAACCAAATCGTGTTAAATTGAAATTGTGTAATAACTGTAATAATTATAGTAAATAAATTTGGAAGAGTGTCTAAGCGCATTACTTTCTCGTATGCATCATATTGCATGTGAAGCGTTATTTTTTGTTTGAATTGTCTTAAAGAAATCATGACAAATCTTTTAAGAGCATTAGTTGCTCTTCTACAATATATTGCTTGTTCAGCATTATTGCTTTGTTTGATTTGTCATAGAGAAATGTGGAAGAATGTTTAAAGCGCATTACTTTCTCGTATGCATTCTATTGCTTGTTCCGCGTTATTGCTTTGTTTAACATTTAAACGGTTATTTTCTTATATAGCTCTCGCTGATGGACACGGACTATATAATCCTTCTTACCTTTTATATCAGACCAAACGATACGGACCTGATTTCCGAAATCTAATTATATACATTCAATGTACTATTTGTCCTTAGAATAATGTAAGGACAAATAGAATATTGAATGTATCACAACCGTAGCATCACAACGTAATGATATTGTCACTTGTTTATTTAAACATAGTAACGTGTATACTAAATTGCTAATATTGAAGATAGTAATAGCAATGTTACAGTTTCTGTTATGCAATATCAGGATTTGATTAAGTCTTCATAACACGGTGTAAGACGTAATATCAAACAACACTTGAATAATTATCAAGTCTTCCTATTATTCAAAATATACTTACAACACTTACAAAAGTACGTGTTCAGGATTGACAGGACTATCGGGGTTTTCGAGGTGGCGCGATAGCTCAGTTGGTTAGACCACTGACTGTCACTCCTGGGGTTCCGGGTTCGATCCGGGGTAACACCTTTGGGATTTTTAGAAACACTTTCAATGTTTCCCACCTAACTAGAGGTTTACTGGTACGAAACCCAGGTAATCCTCGCATGTATCAGTGCTATACACTGGGCATATAAAAGAACCAAGGAATCTATTCCATAAGAGCTAGGGACTGGTTCCCAGATTTCCTTGTATCTCATAGCTGTCTCTAGTGTATGCTGAGGTAAGGACCCCACTGGAAATAAGTGCTTGCACTTTTGTAGGTTATCCTTGACCGCCCGGTCTTAAGAGCATCAATCATTCATTTGTAAATAAATCATTTTGGTTCTCAAACAAATTACATTGGCTAGGCTTCCCAGAAAAGCCCCATCTTACGAAAAATTAAGTTTTCTTAATTTTAGTTTGTTCAAAGGGCATCTTTTATATATTTGTTTGACATTTTTCAATATCAGTACTTAAACTAAAATAGAAAGGAACGTAGCCCCAGGGATATAAAATAGGGAGAAAAAATCCCTTAAGAACGTTCCCGCCAACTAGCACTGGCTTAAAGCACATATGAATAATTACTTTGGAGTGGGAAATAAAGAAGAAAGATGCACATCATCTCATCTTTGAGAACGAGAATAAAACATGAATGATGAAAATACAATATTCATAAAGCGTTCTTTTAAATTACTTTTTTGCTTTTTAATCGTACCAAACGGTCAATTGCAGAATAGTCACACCAATTCATTAGTTGAAAGAACGAACGGATAGCCCACTGTTTCATTTAAAATATTCTCATATTATGTTTTCTTGATACACATGTAAATTGTTGTCGAATTTACAAACTCATCCAGTCTACAAAAGGATTATACCAAGGTACGTAATACCTTATTGTTCTCCATTAAAGAGCCACTATGCCTCATAAATGCAATCATTTTTATTACTCAGAAATTGTCTTTTCAATTTTCGGTATCTTATAACCGTTTCTAAACATGTGCTCATGTGCCGTATAGTTAATCTATCTGTTCCCCTTTGATCTTTTGGCAATTGGTATAATTATATCCAATTCGTATTTTGTACGGAAGTCAAATAAATACTTTTTAATATCTTGTTGCCTTTATTACACATAACAGCACGTTAATTGCTACTTTCTTCAGTTTTAAGATATCTTATAATTATGTTTTTAATCCATTATTGAAACAAATAATTTATTAAATGCATGCCTGACATTTCAAGGCGTATAATGAGTTTAGAATTGTTTGTAATTTCCTGATACTGTTAACAAATGCTAACAATATATTGAAAACCTTTGTAAGACAAAATATGTTATGTCCGATTTATATGGGAATGTCAAGACTATGCCCTAGAAAAAAGTCCATGGTAGAGACGACCCGCTATTGTAAATATTTGAGCTGATTATAAACTGATAAAGTTATCAGCAGTTCGTGTTTAATTTCTTACGATTATATAGCGTTTGCCCTAGATGAACAATGGTTATACATGCTGTTAGTAGGTCTTTCAGGAAGATAATTATGTTAGGAGAGATCGCAGGTAATTTAAATACTTGACTTTGTATTCACTCATACATTTTTTGGTCAACTTTAATGTTAGTTCTCTTGTCCCTCGGAATCACTGATTTCATCACTTCAAAATGTTGAAAATTGAGTTCCACTCAAACCGATGCTAGCGAGCGTAAGGGATGATGCAATTTGTCGTTATCCTTCTATCAAACTGAGTCTGTAATTTTCAAGAACTTTTGTTGCGAATAATATTTCCGAGGGATCACCCTCCTTTCAGATTTCGGTAATAATAGAAAAAACATTCAGCTTGCCAAAGTGGCATAGGAATTATTTCTTTATGTTAAACAGGTATTTTTACTACTCTTTCGTTAGGTAATAATATTTCTTTGAACATAATTATAATCACATTGAATTTTTATCCCGGTGTGTTTTGTGTAATGTCTAAAATTAATTCATTTCCATACGTATATCATGCATTGACGTATATAGATGTCTTTTAAGGTTTTAACGTATATAATTGTCTCTTTAAGGTTTGCTTGTGTTTGTGACATTACTAGCGACTTATGCATGCGATACTTCTGGATCTAAAGGTTAAGATATGTGTTCATTTTTATGAAAAATATACTGAAAACATTTGTTTTAAGTATATAACTTAGTTAATAATAAATTCATGAAATATATGCTCGTTGTATCCCTGAAATGTTAACGTGTCGTTAAACTTTTAAATCTTAATAAACGTGTTCAACAATCTTCAAACAAATAATCATAAGATTGTGCAAAATTCAGATATTTCAATTTAATATACTGAACTATATTTACTTAATGCTACATTATTCCTATGCAAGTGTAAAATATTAAATCAAAGAAACCTTACATCTTCTTACGCAGAAGTTAAAAAAAATAAGATTATAACTATCAGTATTATCAATTAGTAATACAATTCAACAAGACAACAAGCAAAGATCTTAGCATTATGTCACTACAATGTGTAATCTATGTTGGCATAATACACATGTGTCTGCTAAAAATTGACATACTGAGTAAAACTTATATTTTCAATAAATGAACATGTTTGATATGAAGTTTTTTTTATTTGTCCCTGGCCATGACGCCAAAACAATTTATTTTGTTGCAGATGACTCTCTGTCAGCTAACAAACGATTTCTGCTGGATGGAAATGCTGTACCTTGCAAGTTACTTCTTTATATATTTCTTCAAAAATACACCTTTCTTCTATTTTTAAGTGATAAATAAAAGTAATCAATTACATTATCATTTAGATCTTCTAAACTTTATAATTATGAAGTTAGTCACACTATTGAAATACGTATTGTTTAATTTATCAGTCCATAATGTTTTCAAATCCATTCGCAATAACTTAAGATAAAGAACAATGAATCCATAAAGGACCTTTACGTCAAAAACGGTTAAATTAAAAATGTTAAATGTTAATGCTCGGTTTGATTGAACCTGTTCATGGACAGCACTGTATTATGCGAGATTAAGATAATTCAACATTTAAGATCATCTCAGATTAAGATTCATCCCGCAAAACATTTTAAAACATGAATAAACCTGATATTTCTTTTACATTACTTCACCTATAGTATCAGAAGAAAAAACTGCGAGATGGTGCGTTCAAAGTTATTTTCTTAATCATCTATTTCCATTCATGTCTCTGTGGTCCGACTTTTTATAACGTCAAAATAAAAATAATGTTAAAGTATTTTTACTTTTTTATATTCATTTCAGCTAATATTTCATTAGAACAGTTTGCATCGTGTTACCTAACTTGTACACCAACATATGGGAAACTCTTGGAAACATGTTGTAAATCAGGTCTCAGTGTGGTCTGTTCAAATCTGCCATGGGATATTTTGAAACCCAAGCTAGGGTCCTGCCCAGGTACTTGTCTTTCTTTCATCTGTTTTGTTTATGTTAAAGATAAGATATATCGTTTTAGTCGTGTTATATGTTCTAATGTCACATTCTTGTCACATTATGTTGATTTTGATATACTATTGTATTCATTATTTTTGATTACCTTAAATTAGTAAAAACTGAATTTATAAATGATATAATATAGTATAATATGATTTTTGAAAAATTGTACCATTTTCTTTAAAACAGTTTGCAAATAGTCATTTCTACATTTACAATTATTTTGTGCTTTGCTTGTTATACACATAATTGCAATAATTATGGTAAAAAAAAATTCAACCGAAAATAGTTCCTTATTATATTTTTTCTTCTCTTCAGGATTATCAAAAAGTCCGACCACTTCAGGTATATGTTTAAATTGTTCAAGACAGGCAAGGTAATAAATGTTATCTTTAAAGTCGGGCCCATTAACACTATTTTTTCTCGAATTGATTTTGTTAAAATATAATGCTATAGTATTGAGTCTTATAGTTCAGTGCTTGTCACGTACCTTCTTAAGCACCGACTAAGGTTGTTTTTATTCTGCAGAATAATGTCCCTTTTCAAAATTCCATTTTGTTTAGTTCCGCCCTTTGATAACTCGTTTAGGGGAAAAGCATTCTTCTACTTGGGGACCATACGCCTCTTTACGAAGGTTCCATAATAACGCCATATGGACACATCTGCAAATGTTTCTAAATTTAAAATTATACCATTTCAAGTTTAAATTTTGAACTCTGCTTCTGCGGTTGCTAGGGGCGTAGACGGTAGCTTGCACTTTGTAGTACCGTCCATGAACAGACTCAATCAAACCGGGCCTACACAGTCATATAACTTATTGTTTATATTTCGAAACAAAGTTGATCGATCGATCGAAAAGACATTAATGTGGCTGTTGACAAATGCCTGACAACCTAAATGTTGACATAAAATAAGATATAAATTGCGGACGGTTTTTAAATCGTATTGAGAACTTATGTTAATATTACAGCATGGTTGTCCATGGAACAGTTTGCTGCATGCTTTCTCACTTGTGTTGTTGGTTTCGAAAAACTTACAGAGGCATGCTGCCAAACTGGATTAGATGCGATTTGTACAAATTTGCCATGGGATATATTAACATATCAATTAGGATCATGCCGATGTATTTATAAGTTTTTTTAATCAATTGTTTTAAGATTTATCTTTTTATAAAGATATTGTCAAATATAATAAGGATTATTTAAATTTATAAGTAATGAATTTTCGACAGAAATTTTGCATACATCGTTTTATAAGTGTTTTGAAGAAAATAATATCAATTTATTTGAAAAACCTCTATAAAGCAAAAAATCCAAAGAAAAGTGACTGTGTCTTTACTATTTATTAAAGCTTTTTATAACAAATTTAAATCCTACAGCTGAACTGTCAACTATTAGAACAACAAAACCAAGTACCCTTCCTCAACCTTTCTGGTCGTCGTGGGGAGCATGGACATGCGGACATCAAGGATCAATCTGCTTTCAGACCCGGGAAAGAAAATGTTCAACGGGAGTAGACAAAGATTGCGAATCTCAGCCTGATGAAATGGCCACCATCGTAAGACTTTGCTCGGAATCTACATGTCAAGGTTTTCATTTTCTTGTAATCATTCGGATGAAAATGTAATTGAATATAAAACTGGGTGTAATGCTATTCATAGTACTCTAAATATAACACATAATGCTATATATTAAATTCATTTCATAAATTTAAGTCAAGTGTTTTTCAAGACTTTCAATGTGTGTCATTAAAGATATGATACACTATATGAGTACGATATATTTTCTCGGCTAAAATAAAATTTTAAATTGTAATTGACAAGAATGTATATTATAACAAAATACGTAAATTTACAAAGAAACCTACAAAAGAAAACATATATAATGAAAGAATAAGATACCTGAGATAAATTGAAATATACACATATTTGTAACTGCATTTTAATGATTAAAATAACTCGACTGAAACAGAATGACTGAGATATTAACAATTGACAAATAGATGGAAGTTACTTTCTCCAATACTGGTCTTCCAAGAGTTTTTGCGCACAATTTTTTATGCACTTCTTCATTGTTTTTAGATTTCTCTTCAACAAAGATATCACACACTACAGCTACGACAACACGAAGTAAAGACAAAAGTTATTTTTTTTCCTACAGCTGACTTTATTTGTAAACCGTATATTAGAAATAGCTCATTTTTTAACAATGATTTTGCAAATGAAACAATGATTTTTGTTTTTCCATTAAAGCAAAAGCTTTTGCAAATACGAATCAAACAAAAAACTACCTTTTAGAAAGATACTTGGCAGCAGTAAAACTGGTAACATTCATATGTTATTACTTAGTTTTTGAACACATATAGAATGTAAGCAATGCATGCATACCAATAACATAATAACGAAGAATCACAATATGCAATATAGAAATAGGAAAAAAAAACAATAATTGGTAGGCAATTTAAAAGACTATCGATGAACGTTTTATCTTTTATTTTATGCAAAACAGTTATGATAGAAAAGAAAGAATACAACACTGTAGCAACTTTGATAACCTGCATTGGTTCACAACAGAAAGAAACGATTTTGATAACTTTTCTAGAGATAAACCTAAAAGTGGTTCATAACCCCATATCACATTAGTTTTGTGAATGTTTGTGGGTCTGAACCCATATTTAAACTATTCATACCAATAGAACAATTTAAATATGCTTTTTCAAATTTTCGATAACAATAAAATAATCATTTCTTGTACGTATAAATCTAATTTGTAAACATAGAAATAAGATAAAATGCATATTGATATTGATGTTTCTTCCAAATAGGATAACTTTTATCTGACAGTATTTTTAAGAAATCACATATGTACTATTTCAAATACAAATAAAAGGATAATAAATTCTGAAATTATAACATTATAACATAAGGGAACATGATGTACCTATATTGTTAAATGTTGGTGTGGTTTCTGATATTTTTATTTAAACTTAGTAAATTTACAGGATAGTGCACGTTATTAATTGTATTTGAACACTAGTTATTGTATAAAATAAACTTAATGAGTTCTTATGAACAATAAACCGCTCCGTTCAGAAGAAAGTAAAATGAGATATAAATGCAGTGTAAAATGTTTTCTGTGAGGAAGTATGGTTATGTCTTTGCAATGTAACTAGAAATTAAAGAAAAACTATATTGTTCGTTTTATTTTAGAACTATCCTTTACATTTTATTTAATTGTGACAAGAAATATCATGTACATTTTATTTAATAACTATCCTTAACATTCTATTTCAGAATGGCAGGAACTATCATTTACATTTAATGTAAGAATAACCAAGATTCCAATATGTAATTTCAAATGACCAATGTAAATTATGTTTTATATTACTTCATATTGTTCTTCCATATTTCAATCAAAATATTGTTACTGAAATATGTATAATATCCTTTTATATTCTTGTGATAAATTTATTCTTAAATACTTCCATTTATATCTAGCGTCTGGTCATTCGACATCTTCACAAATGACGTCATTAAGAACACCTGCAACAATACAAACTGGAACAGTTACAACTAGATACACCAAATCCACACTATTTATGACGTCATCATTACCACAACCAACACCTACAACTCCCCAGCAACCTTACTGGTTACCATGGGGAAGTTGGATTTGTCAACAACAACAAGGTGCATGTTTCCAAAGACGAGAAAGAAACTGTTCGACGGAGTATAATAACGATTGTGTACATAGTCAAGGTGGAAAACAATACAATGTTGGTTTGTGCACTGAAACTTCATGTCCAGGTGAAAAATTATTTATCATACTGTTTGAATAATTGCTTAAAAAGTAATTTCAATTGCTGTTTATAAGGACAATAATCTACAATGAGGTTTACTAATCGTTGATAAATTCATGAAAATCTTTTGTAGCCGACAACAGACACGTTTAGTGGTATTACCTTAAATTCCAACAATGTTTTTTTAAGTTATAAAATAGTTATTTATTAAATTGTGTGCATTAAGATATTCATAAAAAATAACATATTTAAAAAATGCCTTTGTAAATCATTAATTATGAACAAAAAATCCAAGCTTTTAAACTGATATATCAAATTGTTTTACTTTTATTTTATTTATTTTTTTGTCTTCAAACCTGTAGAATATAAACCTAATTATAATTTCTTGGGAACCATGTCTCAGATTTTTTCTATCTTTTCTCACATAAATATAACGTAACGTCAAATATTAAATGTGACTGATATATAGAGGATATTTGTTTGTTTGTGTGTAAGATGAAATTTTATTTCATCGAGTGGGCTTTAAAACAGTATTCTCACGAGTGGTATAGCCACGAGTGAGAATACTGTTTTTAAAGTTCACGAGATGAAATAAAATTTCATCTTACACACCAAACAGACAAATTTTCTTTTTATTTTATGCTTTAAAACAAGTTAAAACGATAATTCCATAATTTTAACGTTAATATTAAAATCTGTTTCCCCAATTGAGAACCCCATTTAGACGGAATTTCTCATTAAAAACAAGAAGTCTTGAGCTGAAAAATAAGTCCGCCAATCAAGGTTAAATGACGGTGATATTTATTCATTATATTAAAAAAATATGAATGATCGCTTGTTTTAATAATAAAAACAAACAATTCTTGTAGGAGAAAAAGTCAAACCATCCATCCATATTTCTGTTACTTACTGCGAATTTATATTAGACCTGGCTTTGTAAAATGTAGGCGGCAGCCATTTTTTAAAGTTGTGTATTTCATGGGAGGAAAATAATTGTATAAGATTCAGAGGGATATAAATTGGATTTGTTAGTCATACACCTCTTTAAAAGAAAGAAAACTTATTTTAGGATTGTAACAGACAAAAAATAAGTGTTTACAGAAGTGAAAACTTTCAGAAAGGGAGCTAGGAAAATGGAAAACTTGGAAGCTTGCTAAGGAACGCTGGGTTGTTTTACTTATTCTACGAGTGATGGCTGTCCATGCTTTTCAATTTTTCATAAAGCATACGGCAGTTATTGCTCGTAGGATACTTTAATATGCCCAAATGTCACCAAGAGCAGTTTTGCATGGGGAAGAAATGTATTTTTCAGACTGCAAAAACGAAACAAAAAAAATTAGAGACGAAAATTATTTGGAATTTGAATGAATAGAAGTAAGTTTTCTCTCTTTATTACTTTTGACATTTAAGTTATTTATCTATTTCAGCTTTGATATTTCTTTTAACAGCCTGACATTGTCAGAATGGTCAGTAAAAATAAAATTGAGCTACCACATGGGGAAAATCTTTAAAAAGTAGTTTCGTCATTGAAAAAAGTGAAATTATATTTTGATAATTTTCACTGTGAAATTATCAAATATAATTTCACGGATAAATCAGTAATCCACTGAAAAGCATAAAATAAATATGTATATTACGTAACTTCAGATAATTAGCCGCTGATTTAGCTAACAAAAATTCCTTGCACGCTTCCCTCAGAAAATGGATTACTTTTATATGCTTCAACCATGCTTGAATTGTTTGATTATTAAAAAAAATTGTCAAATCCTAACGTTTCATGTTAAGTTATTGCATAACATGCAAGTTTCGCAGCAACGGGGTTCATAATATGCGTTAATATACTTTAACCCCTTTTTACAACCCATTGACATCTGACTAATTTAAAAGCTGCTGATTAATATTATTTCATAGCAGAAATTCAAAATTAACACGATTTACTGACCGTCTGTTATATGTGGCAGAAATCACTTTACTATCGGAAAAAATTGAGACACTCGGTGAACAAAATGAAACATATTTAACAGGGGTAATTTAATAACTTACTTTTAATTTTTATAATTCTAATCATCATCATCATTATTAACATAATCATGACGTTAAATATGCATTTGTAATGAATCAATTTATGATTTATGATTTGTGCAGACAATAAGATGTGTCTGGTCACCCCTCTCTCGTTATAGGCAATTACAGTCATTATAACCGCGATTTTATTAATATGAATATATAGCAATACAATGCCTAAGGCGAAAGATGATCACACGTGTATTTCATTTTTTAGAATTCTTTACCACCACTTTGATACCTACAACAACGCCTCCTACCACAACGCCCAAAGGTAGCTTTTAGATTGCATGTTTTATTCTGTTTTACATTTTTGTTTCACTGATTAACATAAAACGATTTAGTTTAAGCATATTTAATGATCATCGTAATTAAAATTTTATTTATCAATAATTAAATACGTGATTTTTTAAATCAATTATTTTTTATAAAATGGGTATTGAATGCTGATGACTTTTCAAATGTTTGTAGTTTAATAGAAAAACCTTTTGTACTTATTTTATGTATTATGCTTCTTTTTATATTTAATGCAATACATATTTTTTTAAATGAATTCAAATCAAACGTCTATGATATTTTTTTGTACAGTTTAAGATAGAAAATATATGTGACTTTCGGAGGGTATTTTGTCATAATGTGCTTATATTAAGTTATTTTCATCGACTTAATACTAATTTTTCCTCTAAAAGATCTCTTTCATCGGACAATACCGACTTTGTAGTATATTTATTTTTCTTTTTGTTAAGGTTCTTGAAGTGTCGGTCCCCTTTCGCAAACTAACACTCTCCTCCGCAATACAATGTGTGACATTTTAATGTAAACGTGACCCCCCCCCCCCCAAAAAAAGGAACAAATAAACAAGTTCTGTATGACCCTCTTTTAAGGATACGGAAACTAATGGACACGAACAGCATCATGTAATTTTATTATTATGTTAACTTACGAGTTCCAGAACTTCTCAAATCTTGAGACATTTGAAATCAAAACATTTTTCAGGGTCCCGAAATTTCTGTTTCCAATATAATTCATACCTCTACAGACGATTTTCTTGTCAAATTTGGGTTATATCAATCCAAAATTCAAAAAGGTGTGAAGGATTACAAAAAATACATCAGATAAAAAAAATCTGCTAAATGTGAGTTTCCACCAATAAGCAGTGACCATTTTTCTAGACAAACAAGTATATTGTAAAGAAAATTAGATAATAGGTTGATGGCTGGTTCAATTCATACATCTGGATATATTGTGAAAATAGATTGTATGCCATTATAACAACATCGTCAGTTATAGGTGTTTATATAATTGAATAAATTTTAGTGAATAGTACAATTCTATAATAACATAGATTTTATCAGCTTCATAATTTTTTTTCATTATGCCTAAATATAATTAGTCCCAAAGGCAGATATAATTTTATTTAGTGTCATACCACATCTTTGCAATTTTACTCAATTTTTAAACACTATAGCTTACATTAAGGAATTATTAGTTCCACTCTTCGGGAAAATTAAGTGAATGTGTTCATATGCCATGGTCAGATCGTCACCGTCAGAGTCGGCGATGATTTACCTTTTCTGATTAAGAATATTTGCATATGTATCATATGTTTTCATTTTCTTTTTGGGGCTAGACTTAATTCATAATATATATGCATTTTACTTGTTTGTATTTTAAATAAATGTGCGCGTGTGTCAGCCAAATTCCCCTTTTCACAGATTCAAAAATGATAAATCTGTTATCAACATCTAATTAGCCTTAACATAATCGTTTCAAGAGAAAAACAAGACGTGAAAATGTACTACACTTTTCCTGTAATGGTTTTTGGCAGTATAGAATTTTGCTCGGATGATTCTCTATTGATCATTAACATACAATTGTGTGCACTTGTAACAATTGCTAAACATTTAATAATGTTTCTTAGAATTTCCTGACTAATGTGTTTAGAAAAAAATACTAACTTCACTAAAACTGACACTTAAAATTCAGATGGCTTGACTTGGGTTCGAACTCAAGACTCCTCGAATCTTAAGCAAGTATGTTACCCTAGAACCAAAGGTTTAGCAGTTATTTGAAAAAAGTAAGAAGCAAATCAACTGATTCTAAATAAAGAATTATCAATAGTGTTTGTAATTCTCTGCCCTTTAATGTTAACTAAAGAAAATCCGTCCCACATAAAAGAGTATAGATCTATATCTTATGAAATATCTTTATAAAATTTGGAAACAGTAAACTTATATTGGTTCCATAATTATATGGTTGATTCTCTAAAACATTGTAACAAAGAAAGCCTCTGTCATTTAATACACATGAATAATGTACGCAAACAAAGTAAAATGTTCCGGAACAAACTATTTTTTTTTTGCTATTTTAAGTAGGACATCATCTGATTAGCAATGATTTAATCATGTGCCATTCGTTTTAAAGGCAATAATTACCATATTTATTTCATGCAAGCAGTTTGGAAGTATACCTTTTTAAGTTTCAAACAATAATTTGTTCATCACATATATAGCTTTATACACTTTAAAAAAGAAATTAAAGAAGAGAAGAAACACCGACTGAACCACTGCTATTGTAAGCATGCTACGTTGCACTATGCACTTTCATCAAATATCATGTGTGTCCACTACCTGATTGTATCCTATGTGATTTCTTGTTTTGTTAGATCCATGTCAAGATGATCCGACATCTATTGGCTGTACAATACCATATATACTAACTGACGTCTGTAAGGAAAATGCAGCTGCCTGGAAACTGTGCCGGAGGTCATGCGGCTTGTGTGGTTGGTCCTTTAATATTCCCCGTTTAATTTCATGAAACGAAAAACGCACAATACGAAATGCCACATTTAAATCTTTTTTTTGTTTGTTTGTTTGTTTGTTTGTTTTTGTTAATTCGTTTTAAAGAGCTATAAAATATATTGGAGATAAGAAATGTTGATATAATGGTGAAACCTTCGTACCAAATTTTATTTGTTAATTACTTGTACATATAAGCGGTGCACTTGTTGACTAAAACATTTATAAAACATTTTCCCCTTTTTTAGACTCATGTTGGGATTACCTACCCTGCTCTTCACAAGGGGCACAGAAAGTGTTCTGTGGCAGAGAAGAATATGCTGTTCAGTATTGCAGGAAAACATGTGGAAAATGTTCACGTAAGTTACGTCATTATGGCCAACATGAATATGTACCATTACATGTATAATTATAATAATAATAAGAAGAGGAAGAGTTATCATAATTATTAAGTAAAATAATAAGTATAATAAGTAAAATATAATATGACTTCACAAATTTTCAAATCATCCACATTTATATAAAGTCCGGGTTCTTTGAAAATTATATTTATTAATTTCACTGTTGATTGATCAAAATATAATTTCACTGTCCACTTAAAGGCATATAAAAATAATATTGTATCTCCTTGCTCCATGTAATTTATTTGTTGTTCACGTCAAAGTATTTAGACTGAAAATGAGTGTTTACCAGGCTATTATTTGTTTATTTCAAAAGCAGTTGCATTTAGGATTACATTTTCGGACAGTAATTATAAACCAACTGAAATGACAAAATTAATCAATTTAAATATTGCACGTACAGATAAGCAAGTGGATGTACAGTTGAATAAATGTGGAGACCCTGTGTCTTCAGAGGTAATCTGTGAACAGCTTCAGAATGAAATCTGTATTTGTAATGACCCCGATCTTCGTGCGCTTTGTGGAAAGTATTGTGAAAACAAGTGCGCAGTGATTGGCTTTCCATACACTGGATCAAACTGCAAGCCAGCTGTAAGTTGCAAAACGACACAAACAATTGATTTAATGGAGTATTATTTTAATCGACAAAGGGCATACATATTTATAGTTCAGATATGATATTATACAATTATTGACTAGGGTGCCATTGAATATGATGCGATATTTACATATTGACTGAGTCGATAGCCGAGGTCAATATGACTTCCTGCCCGTGAATATCACCATCATATTCAATGGCTACCTTGTCAATAATTGCTTTATTATATGAGTGTAGGCTATAAAAAATTTAAATAATCCAATTTAGCCAGTGAATATAATATTACACCCAGTGAATATGATTCTATAAAAAGTTGTGTTGACTACTGTTTGGACCATTGAGATTGCAGCTATATTTAGATCATATAATTATACATAATGTCATATGTTCTGAACCTTTCTATTCCTCTTGAGATGTTTTGCAGGCGTTTCAGTATTCGTATCTCCTTATTTCTTTCCTTATATTATCAATTTCCATATTGTTTTTAAATTGGATTTTGCTGTAAAACTATATCTAAAAACATTTAATTTCAAAACAACATAATTATATTTAAATTTGTTTCTCTAATGTGAATAGGCTTTCTGCTTGTTTATAATAAACAACAAGATATATTTCACTGACTGACAGAGTGAGTGGGTGAGTGAATGAGTTCCAATATAAAAGTTGGTCTTCAGCAATGAAATATATCTTAATCCCAAATCTAGTATTTATTTATCATTTCTATAGTACTATTAAATGGTCGTTATATATTAGACTGATAACTGCTGAAGAACGTCATGTTTAAGTATGCATTTTACACCTCAAAACACCATTTGATAAAACTTGTTTATGTTTGCTGTTTGTTATCTGGTGTAAATGTTTATGTATTTGATATATTGTACATTTGATTTAAGCGACATCTCAGTTAGCATTTTTTAGAATTAGAATATAATTGTATATGTCTTTGTGAGTTTTTTCAAAACAAATGTCACAATTATCTTTACTATATTTTATTATTACTATGATTACTATCTAATCTTTTTACAGAGGCGGAAGAAAAGGGAAGCAATACTTAACCAAGTCGTGTTTAATTGAAATTCTGTAATAACTGTAATTATTTTGGTAAAGAAATGTGGAAGAATATTTAAGCGCATTGGTTTCTTGTATGCATTATATTGATTAAAGACACGGACTATATAAACTTCCTTACCGTTTATATCCGACCAAACAACAGGAACCTGATTTCTGAAATCTAATTATATACATTCAATATAATATTTGTCCTTACATGTAACCAATCACAGCCGTAGCATCACAACGTAATAATAGTGTCACTTGTTAATTCAAACATAGTAACGTTTATTCTAAATTGCTAATATTGAGTATTGTTATAGCAATTACAGTTTCTGGCATGCAATATCAGAATTTGTTGAAAACTAATACGAAACATGACTTGATCATTCACCAAGTCTTTCCTAAAATGTCTTTTTACAGTAATTACAAATTTATATATTTAGTGTAGGCATAATCCGAGTGGTTAGCGCATAAGTTTAGTGATCTAGGATGGTTAGCCGCGAGGGCTCAAATCCCGATTGGGGAAAGCCCTTGTTTGCTATGGCGAGATACCTTAGTCTCAAAGCTCTAACGTTGGCTCCAGGAACAGATTCGAAAGTTTATCTTTCATAGCTTTATACACATGTTGAATCAAAATTACTCCTTGTTCTGAAAGTGACAGGTTTACCGGGGAGTTCTATTGCAAATAAATCAATTTGGTGCACAAACAAATTACATGAGCTAGGCTTCCCAGATAAGCCCATCTTACGACCAAGTTTATTTTTCTTAATTTTAATTTGTAGTTAAAGGAGAGCTTTTATATATTTGTGTGACATTTTTCAATATCAGTACAAAACCTTAAATGGAAAGGAACGTTGCCCGGGAATATCAAATAGGGAGAAAATTTCATTAAGAACGTTCCCGCCCACTAGAACTGGCTCAGGCAGAATCACACATGATATAATTACTTTGGAGTGGGAAATTAATCTCAACTATGGCTTAATAATGTTAATAGAAAAAAAATATAAAACAAGAATGATGAAAATCTTAACTTGACCTATAATATTTATTTTCTGTTCTTTAAAACTATCCCCATGCTTTTTAATTGTACCAAATGATCATTTCTGAATGATCATAATTTTTATAGTTGAAAGAATGATTAGATTGCCCACTGCTTCAATTAAAATTTCCCATTTTGTTTTTTCTTCATACACATGTACATTTCCTCAAATTTATTAACACATCCAATCAACAAAAGGATAATATTAAGGTACGTAATACCTAATTGTTCTTGTTTTAAGACCCACCATGACTTATAAATGCAATCATTTTAATTTACTACTTATAAACTTTGTTTTATGGTCGGTATCTTATAACAGTTTCCGAAAATGTGCTAATTTGCCACATAAGTGGAACTCTCTGTTCGCCTTTTATCTTTTGGAATTGTTATAATAATAAAATTATTTAACTATAAAGTAAAATTAAAGTTTTTTGGGAAATGGAAAAAACATTTTTGTTAACTTTTTGGGCAAACCTTTAAATACACATTAAAATCACGTTCATTGCTACGATCTTCAGTTTCAAGACAACTTATATGCTTTTAATCCATAATTGAAACATTGCTAACAATTTTGCATATGCATGCCTGAAGGGGTAAAGTGAGTCTTAAATAGTTTATAATTTTCTGATACTTCTTATTTATGCTAACTATATTTTGAAGAACTTTGTAAGACAAAAGATGTTATGTCCGGATTATATAGAGATATCAAAACTATGCCCTAGAAAATAGTCCATGGTAGAGACGACCCGCTATAGTAAATATTTGAGCTGATAATAAACTGATAAAGTTATCAGCAGTTCGTGTTTAATTTCCTACGGTTATAGCGTTTGTCCTAGATGAACAATAGTTATACATGCTGTTAGTAGGTCTTTCAGGAAGATAATAATGTTAGGAGAGAGCGCAGGTAATTTAAATACTTCCTTTTATATTCACTTATACATTTTTGGTCAACATAAGTGTTTTTTATTTTTCTTTACTTTCAGGATCATTGATTCCAACACTTATTATCTAAATGTTGAAAAATTGAAATTTTGAGTATAGCTCAAACCGGTGCAAAGCGAACTTGAGGGATGATGCAATTTTCATTATCCCTCTATCAAACTGAGTCTGTAATTTTTCATGTATTTTTGTTGCGAATAATACTTCCGAAGGAAAACCTCCTTTCCGATTTTGGCAATAATACTAATAGGTCAAACTTGCAGCTTGAACTTCTTCAGGGTGGCATAAGAAATTATTTCATATTCAAAAACCATGTATTTTAATGACTCTTTCGTTAGGAGTTATAAAAATTTCTTTTGAACGTGATTTTGATCACATTGAATAATTACCCTAGGGTGTTTGTTTGTTATGTCTAAAATTAATTCATTATTATCAGTATAGCATTCATGGACGCAAATAAATGCCTTTAACAGGTTTTGACGTAAATGATTGTCTTTTTAAGGTTTACTTGTGTTTTTGTGACACTACTAGCCACTTATGCATGTGATACTTCAGGATCTAAAGGTCAATATATGTTTTTCAGTTTTTATAAAAAAATATACTAGAAACTTATCGAAACAAATTCTTTTTATGAATACGTATTACTTTAAAATCAATTCATCAATTATTTTGATATGTGCATGTATCGTATTGTTAAAGTTTTAAACGTGTTAAACTATCTTTAAAAATATAAATTATAGATTTGTGCAAAATTCAGATATTTCAATTTATAACGAACTATTTTTACTTAATGCTACATTATTACTATTCTAGTGTAAATGATAAAATTAAAGAAACCTTACATCAATTCTATTCCTTACTACACAAAGTTTATAAAAACTAACGATGTCATTTTTTGGTCAATTATCAATCTCTTGAAATATTTTTGTATTTCAATTCAACAATACAACAAGCAAAGATTTTTGCATAATGTCACTAATATGTGTAATCTATGTAGACATGATACACATATGTCTACTAAAATATAACATACTGAGTAATACTAATATTTTCGACAAATGTACATATCTGATATTGAATTTTTTATTTGTCCCTGAACATGTTAGCACAGCATGACGCTAGAACAATTTATTCTGTTGCAGATGACTCTCCGTCAGCTAACAAACGTTTTCTGCTGGATGGAAATGCTGTACCATGCAAGTTACTTCTTGATATATTTCTTCAAATACACACTTTCTTTCATTTCTTAGTGATAAATAAAATAAATCTATAACATTATCATTTAGATTTTCTAAACTCTATTATTATTATTATTATTATTATGAAGAAAGTCCTACTATTTAACAAGTACTGTTTTATCTATCTGTCAATAATGTTTTCAAATCCATAAGCATTAACTTAAGGTAAAGAGGAATAAATCAATAAAGGACCTTTACGTCAAAAACGGTTAAATTGTAAATGTTAAATGCTCGGTTTGATTGAGCCTATTCATGGACAGCACTGCATAATGCGAAAATTCATTAAGATAATTCAACATTTAAGATCAACTCAGGTTACACTTCATAGCGCAAACCATTTTAAAACCATAATAAACCTGATATTTCTTTGATATAACTACGACGTTCAACGATTTATATAGTATCAGAATAAAGACTGCGAGAGGATGCGTTCAAAGTTATTTTCTTAATTATCTATTTCCATACATTTCTCTGTGATTCGACTTTTTATAACGTCAAAATATAAATAATAGTTAAGTATTTTAACTTTTTTATAATCATTTCAGCTAATATTTCATTAGAACAGTTTGCATCGTGTTACCTAACTTGCACACCAACATATGGAAAACTCTTGGAAACATGTTGCAAATCAGGTCTCAATGTGGTCTGTTCAAATTTTCCATGGGATATTTTGAAACCCAAGCTAGGGTCCTGCCCAGGTACTTGTGTTTCTTTCATCTGTTTTGTTTATGTAAATGATTATATATATTGCTTAGGTCGTGTTTTAATTTCTAATGTCACATTCTTGTCACAGTATGTTGATTTTGATATACTATTATATTTCATTAATTTTGATTACCTTAAATTAGTAGAAACTGAATTAATTAATGATATATTATAGTACAATATGATTGTTGAAAATTGGTGTCATTTTCTTTAGTACAGCCTGCAAATAGTCTTTTCTACATTTATCGGTCTTTTGTGCTTTGCATGTTTTTAACATGCAATAATTATGGTTTAAAAATTCAACCGAATATAGTTCCTTATTATATTTTTCTGTTCTTCAGGATTATCAAAAAGTCCAACCACTTCAGGTATAAATTTAGATTTTACAAGACAGACAATGTAATTAATGTTATCTTAAAAGTCGGGCATTTTAACACATTTTTCTCGATTGATTTTGTTAAAATATAATGCTATTGTCTTAAAGTTCAGTGCTAGTGACGTTCCTTCTTAAACACAGACTAAGGTTGTTTACATTCTGCAGAATGATGTCCCTTTTCAAAATTCCATTTTGTTTAGTTCCGCCTTTTGTTAACTCGTTTAAGGGAAACGCATTCTTCTTTCTGGGGACCATACGCCTCTTTACAAAGGTTCCATAATAACCGTCGTATGAACACATCTGCGAATGTTTCTAAATTTAAAATTAAACCATTTCTTGTTTGAATTTTGAATCCTGCTTCTGTGGGTGCTAGGGGCGTAGACGGTAGCTTGCATTTTGCAGTACCGTCCATGAACAGGCTTAATCAAACCGGACCTACACGGTCATATAACTTTAAGTTTATATTTCGATACTAAGTTGATCGATCGACCGAGAAGACATTTATGCGGCTGTTGACAGATGCCTGACAAACTAAAAGTAGACATAGAATAAAATATAAATTACGAACAGTTTTTAATCGCTTTGAGAACTAATGTTAATATTACAGCTTGGTTGTCCCTGGAACAGTTTGCTGCATGCTTTCTTACGTGTGTTGTTGGATTTGAAAAACTTACAGAGGCATGCTGCCAATCAGGATTAGATGCGATTTGCACAAATTTGCCATGGAATATATTAACATATCAGTTAGGATCATGCCGATGTATTTATCAGTTTATTTTTGTTTAACCAATTGTTTTAAGATTTACAACATATGATAAACAAGATCAACAAGGAAAGGCGGCGTTCAATGAACATACCTTCTTTTATAAAGCTCTTGTAAAATATATTTAGGATCATTAAGATTGATAAATAATGAAGATTTTTGACATAAACTTTGCACAAATCGTTTTAAGTGTTTTTAAGAAAAGAATATCAATTAATTTGAAAAAAACTTTTAAAAGCATATATTCCAAAGAAAGGTGACTGAATCTTTACTATTTTTAAAGCTTTTTACAACAAATTTAAATCCTACAGCTGAACTGTCAACAATTACAACAACAAATCCAAGTACCCTTCTTCAACCTTACTGGTCGTCGTGGGGAATGTGGACATGTGGACATCAAGGTTCAATCTGCTTTCAGACTCGTGAACGAAAATGTTCAACAGGAGTAGACAAAGATTGCGAATCTCAGTCTGGTGAAATGGCCACCAGCATAAGACTTTGCTCGGAATCTACATGTCCAGGTTTTCATTTTTTTTAGTATGTAGTCATTCCGTTGAAAATGTAATTGAATTTAAAACTTGGTGTAATGCGAGTAATAGTACTCTTAATATAACACATAATTCTATATATTACATTCATTTCATTAATTTAAGTCAAGCGTTTTTCAATACTTTCAATGTGTGTCATAAAAGATATGATACACTATATGAATACGATGTTTTTTTCTCGGGCAAAATAAAATATTAAATTTTAATTGACAAGAATGTATATTATAACAAAATACGTAAATTTACAAACAAACCAACAAAAGAAAAAATATAATAAAAACTATAAGATCCCTGTGATGATATAAGATATTTACATCTCCACTGCGAAAAATATACTGATATACGGGAATATACGGTCCCGTATTTTTGACATATACGGGCGTGTACGGGATGTATTTGTCGAATATACGGACCAAGTATACAAGTCCGTATAGGGAACACCGGGTATACGGGAAGTCCGTATATGCATCAGGCATATACGGAATTCCGTATTTGCACCATATACATGTACGTATATTTGTTCGTATGTTTGAAGTATACGGAGAATAAAATCCCGTATACGGACTTTATCAAAGTTGTTATCCCCAGTATACTATAAATATACCAAGGATATACGAGACCTATTTTCTACATATACAGAGGATATACGGACTCGTATTTTCTACGTATACAGATGATATACGGAACCGTATATTCTACATATACAGATGATATACGGACTCGTATTTTCCACATATACAGATGATATACGGACTCGTATTTTCCACATATACAGATGATATACGGAATCGTATTTTCTACATATACAGAAGATATACGAATCGTATTTTCTACATATACAGGGGATATACGGAATCGTATTTTCAATATATACAGGGGATATACGGAATTGCATTTTTTAGTTGTACACAGGGTATACAGAACTGTATTATCGAGATAAAAGAAGGTACAGATACTATCAAAAGCATGCATTTACATATAAGTAACACGTATACATGACCGAAATGCAGGCTTGTACAATAGAATATGTTTGATTACACATTGTGAAATGGAACTGTAAAGTCATAAAGTTACACCAGTGATGAAAGATCTTCATTGGCTGCCAATCGAATATAGAGTGAATTACAAGATCTTAGTACATACTTTCAAGTCACTGAAACAACAATCTCCATCATATATGCAGGAAATGATTCAAGTTTATTCCACTTCCCGAAATCTGCGCTTTTCAAATGCACCTGTACGATTAGTGCAACCAAAAACTAAACTGAAATTTGGTGAAAGGAGTTTTTCGGCATCAGCTCCTAAGCTATGGAATTCACTACCAAGTCATCTAAAAAACTGTAACACAGTAGAAAGTTTCAAAAAACATCTTAAAACACACTACTTCAATTTAGCTTATGGAAAATAATCAGTGACTGTTATGAATGAATTTTATAAACAGTGAATACGAAGTATCTGTTATTTGAATATTAGTTTTATTAAAAAGTTTTATTTTTTTTTTAAACAAACAATTTTTAAATCAATTTAGTATTTCTATTGTTTTATAATGATGATTTAGCAAGATCTTATCTATTATTATATATTGAAGACAATTTTAATGTATGACAATAATATTGTAAAGTGAGTTTTAAGGATCTTTAAGTTATATTGTATTAATATGTAAAAATAATTCCATAATTTATACTTTTAATTAGTTAATGCAAAATATTTTTAATGTTCATAATCCTGTTCATTTATATTGTTTTAGACATATATGATTGATGTAAAGCGCCTTTGAACATTTTAATGAAAAGGGCGCTATATAAATGTGGTATTTATTATTATTATATGCTTAAGAACTTTATCTTCACAATTGGAGTATTTCAAATAATAAAGTAAAAACCAAATCGAGCCACTCTTAAATATTTATTATTTCATAAACATATATTCAATATGTATACATATATATATAACAAAATAAACATGTCTTCGCTACAACAGTCATATATTGTTGTAAGCCTTATTCCAGAGGGACACATTAATGTAGCGTTGTAACGGAACGGCGATATACCGGTATGTTGCAATACAGAGTCATGAAATACGTATCACGGTGCAGAACATCCGCACCGCGATATTTTCTTCAGAGATCGAATTATACATGTACATTTTTCGATATTTTCAAGCAGTAACCTTTATGAATTGCATGTTGTTTAAATCTAGAACAATCTATGCTAACTTGAAGTTCTTTTCGATTTATCTTAACAATGATTCATATGAGTCACTTATATTACACCCATAAAATTTTTTAAAGATATTCATATCATTTGCTCGTGTTAACATTCACATGTTATTTTAGGAAAATGAGTCCATGGCACAAATTGATAATAACAGAAAGTTTTAATAATAAGCATTAAAATAAAAAATCCGTATTTACAGAAATTCGTCATTCAAACACTGTTCTTAAAAGCACTTAAATATATCAATCATCTATAGGCCAGTGTGACGGTGTCTATTTCGTGACGTAGGAAATGTTTTCTCCAGATATTACAATCTTCTTCGGCATGTGTGTATCTGAAAAAAGATAGTTTAAAATCCTGTTTAAATAGTGTCATGAAATAGTTATCACAACTTTCAAAAAGTCTTTACGCAAGCATTTTTTTAAGCGTATACATATATACATTTTTTTTTCTTACGCAAATTTCAAAATTATCTTATATCATAAGGATAAAGATGTCATTTATAAGCAACCATTTACACGGGATTTAAATGAAATGATTAATCTTTGACGGATGATAAGTTATACGTTTTTGTTATGAAACTTTTACGAATATTTTATTTCACACTTGTAAAAGGAAAAATTGGGAAAAAGTGCTGACATAATCATTTTGCACTGCGAAAAAGGTATGGATATACGGAAGTGTACGGAATTCCGTATATCATTAATATACGGGTAAGAATACGGGAAACTGGAAATACGGAGATGTACGGGACCGTATATTAGGTCAGTCCGTATATGACCAATATACGGTAATCCGTACACTCGTAATATACGGGAACTTTGATATACGAAGTCCGTATTTTAATGATATACGGAATTTTTATATCAAGTCCGTATATTACTAAAATACGAAATTCCGTATTCGTGCAAATACGGATTCTGTATATAGAAATAGCGAATGAAGATTTACTTCTAAATCGCCTATTACCTATAAGAGGAAAGAAATAGTCTTATCTAATATTTGTCAGACATTTGACAAACTAACATAAAACAGGAACGCTTTTACACGATGTAATATTTTCTGGAAGTATTAACACGTTAATTGCATACTAATAATATCGTCAGTGCACAGAACGTGTAAAAAATCCATCTGTAGCATGCAGACAAAGAACGACAACGTATATTGAAATATCTTCTTTTGTATACAAGGCAACGTGGTATTCTAGCTCAATACCGCTTGGTTTGCTTTTTAGCATACAGCCGCAGATAAATAGCGAATACTTTACAATTGCGATTGACGATTAGATAGTACTTTTTGTATTTGTAACTTCTTTATCATTATCATTATAATAATTTAAAATGATAAGCCAAACATGAGAAAATGATAAAGTTAAAATTGTGATGTTCAAAACATAAATTAAATATATTAAAATCGTGGATCTGTGAAGTTGAAATCGTGAAAGGTAAAATTATGAAATAAAGAAGATGAAATCGGGATTGTCCACACACAGTTTTTAAATTTTACGTTTATATATATCCTATAAATAATTTAATACATGTACTTGCATATGTAAAAAACAACTGTTACAACAATGTGAATGGTATCTCATTAATTCATTAATTCATTAATTCATTCATTCAATCAATCAATCAATCAATCAGTCAGTCAGTCAGTCAGTCAGTCAGTCAGTCAGTCAGTCAGTCAGTCAGTCAATCAATCAATCAATCACCGATAAAACAATCAATCATTCATTCATCACCACTCATTTATTATTTTATTTATTTATTTATTTATTTATTTATTCATTTATTTATTTATCATTTATTTATTTAATCATTTATTTCAGGAAACATAAAGACTTGCATTTTTATACACAAGTTTGGAATAGAAATCTTATGAAGTTCCGAATTCCCCAATTTTAATTATTTTCGCGCTGTCTCATTTCTGACATAATATATTGCGTAACAGCCACGTGCTGTATTGCGATAATCGAAGCCAATACTGATTAAGCCGGATATTGATCCGGATATTGATCATAAACGCAGCAGGGTATCACGAGTGTCGGTTTTCTCCGATTATGTAAGTTCGCGCAATTGGCGTTGAATGTCTTAACGGTAATTTTCACTGTTAATTTCTTGTAAGAAAAAATGGAATTAGATTGGGATCTTATAACAGAGTCTCTATGTCATTTTATTCCAGATATTATAAAGACTCTAACCTGACATATTAAAATGAAACAGATATAGCGAATGTTTTTGCAGCGTAGTGTTGTTGTTATCCTTTTATCTTGCGGATTTCGTCATTTAAACAAGACACAATTAAGTTATATCTTAAAGTAAATTCTGAAGTACACTGCCGCCAGGTCCAATTATATCTAAGTTAAAAAGCTAGAATCAGATGAATATCACTGCGGTGTATGTACGTGTATTGTTGATAGATGATGTCAAATTATTCGAAATAGCATTTCTTGGAAAATATCATCATCATCTTCCGAGTTTCCTCGTCTCCCATCAGCCTTGTTTCTGCATAATTCGGTGACTTGAACATTGTTCAGGACAGGGGAACATGGCCGTACTATGTAAATTAAACATGTGTACCCTGGTTATAATAAACTATGTATCTTGGTAACAGTTTTTGTATAAGTAATTTTTTGTTTAAAAAATAAAAATTGTCGCAATTTGTTGTAAAAAAATCAAGTTAAGAACATAATAAATTATATATTGAAAGTAAAATCATTTTTCAAATTGGACTTTTGAATTGTAACCGATACTCCTCATATTCTTATACTGGTAAAAA